AGCAAAGGCCAAAGGGAGGGGAAGCTGGACATGTACCCCAAGGAAATGAAGTAGAAACAATCCATCAGGTTGTCTCTGGTAGGCTCTATGTTTGCCAAGGTGGATGACAGTCTGATGGCCCAGGAACTGCTCGCTCTCTCCTTCTGCCTCAGCCCTGCTACACATACACAGAGCACCTGGCATGGGAGAAAGCAGTTCTGGAGAGGGTGGGAGGGCTGCCTCTGGTCCTCCCACCTGTGCCCAATGCCTGTTTGCTTCTTCTGAATCCACCAATGTATTTGCGCATGCACGTGTGCATGAAGAGGTGGAGACCAAGTTCTGATGGGTAATCAGTGGGTGCTGGGGCAAAAGCTAGGAGCGGAAGGGAACCCAGGTTGGAGGAGGCAGGGCTAGGCCACAGGATGTGGTCTGTCAGAAAATGAGCTACACTTCTCCTTTGGTACAGCAGCCCCTCCTCCAGAGTCTTCCGACTAGGGGACCCAGGGAACAGAGTCCAAGGAGTGCCAGGGGCCTAACCATAGGAAACATGCTGGGAAGAAAGACACTCATAAAGAGCTCTCAAAGCAAGAGGAGGAGGTTCAGAATGATCAGCAGCAGAGCACTGAAACACTTCATCTGGGTCAGAGAACAAGGAGACAACTAGGGCAGGGTATGGGCAATTCTGGGTTTTTGTCACTTCCCCTTTCCACTTCAGGCTGGGAGCACACTCTGCTTAGGAAGAGAGTGCAGAGAAAGAGATCTGGAAAAGATACAACTCACGTAACCTAGAGCCTGGGCCCTGACAGGACTGAGGAGGGCAGAGAGGCTTCTCAGGAAGCTGGGATTTTCCCACCTCACCACACAAGGGAACTCACAGGAGCCCTAGCTGCACCCTGAGCCGGAATGCTCGAGGAGGAGGCTGGGAGGGGACAGGAGCTGGGAGGGGCTGGCAGTTCATGGTAGCTTTCCCCAAGAGTCCACTCATTGAGACAGAGCCCTAAGGAAGTAAAGAACAACATTTGGTCTTTGTCAAAAACAAGCAAGGGGGAGGGGAAGAGAACAGACGGCAAGTGTCACACAGCTGCTGAGGTCAATCTGGAGTTTAGGGGTTGGGAGAGTGTCTAAGAGGGATAAGAACGGCTTCTAGAGCTCACCCATTCGAACTCACTTGCTGCACAGGAGGCAAGAGAATCGAAGAGGTTAAAAGTGGTTCTCCCCAGAACAGTAGGGGGAGCGTGCCTGGGCCTGGCTGTTTGCAGGCGGGCAGGCACCTGTCTGGGAAGAAATTCATACTTCTATCCAGCCCCATGTCCCCAACCCTCCTCACACCCGAGCCTAACTGTGGCCTTTGGGCATACAGTCTTCTCCCCTCCAGATCCCCAACCCGCAGCTGACAGCCCGAGGTCATAGGCTGCCTCCACAGCAGCTCAGGCCTGACTTACCTGTCACAGAAGGCCCCACTTGCCACCACAACAAATACCAGGGGGTGGAGGAAGCAAGATTAGAGGGATCCTGTGGGTGGGGAGTGGAAGGAGTCTCCAGGGGGCCAGCACTCTCAGCTAGGAGATAGGATTTCCTTCCTTTCAGCAACTGCCTCGAGTCCCTCCCCCAGGAAATGGGAATTCTAGTGTCCCTATGAGGTCGCAAACTCCACAGTGACTACACAGACGAAGGAGGAAAAGTCTCAGATAAGGTCAGTAATAGTCCGTGGAAGAACTTAGGGAGAAAAAGAGTTAGGAGAGGTAAAAGATTTGCTTGTTTCCCAAACGCTGCCTGGATGGAGTGGAGGGCAGGGACTTAAGGGGGCGGGACTATGGCAAAGTCAACAGAAACATCGAGTTGTAAGGGACGATCTATGGGAAAGAGGTGCCTAAGGGTGCTCTGATCTCGGTGGAACGGGAAAGGAGTTGGAGACAACGAGCAAGGAAAGAAAGAAGTGGTTAGAAAAGCTGAGAGGCTGCTTTAAGGAACGATCAGAACTGTGGTAGACGAGGTCATGCAAATGAGCCAACCAGGTGAGGGGCGGGACCACTGTGCAGGTGCGCAGCGAGCAAATAAAGAGGGGACGGGTCTCACCCAGAGACGCTGGGCGTTCAGTGAAACCAGAAAGGTGCTCGTAGCCCAGGGATTCTATAGCAGGGAGTGGTCGCACTTTTATGTCAATCGGGAGGGGTGAGCAAACCTGTGGACAGGTGAAGGGGCGGGCCAGACTCGAGGGCGGGGCAGGAGCAGGTGGGCGGGATTATGTAAATGAGGGTCGCGGGAGCTCCAGCGTTCGACGCACTCACCAGCCTGGGTGATGTCTGACAGGTCGTAGCTGCGGGCCGCACCCCTGGGGAAGTGCTTCAAGCGCCGGTTAGACAAGTTCAGGGTCCCAGTGGCCACGGCCTCCTCTAGGGCTCGCTCTGCGCTACGGCTCCCAGGCAGACCCGGAGACCCTGGCACTGAAGTCGTGGCCGCCGTCTCCTCTCCCCCGGCGGCGAGTGGCGCCGCTACTGCCGCCGCCATCCGCTCCCGGCGGCTCCCGCAGCCTGACTGACGGGACCTGCCGTTCCTCCTTTCCCCTCCCCCTCCTTGGAGCCGCCGTAGTCGCCTTCGGGGAGAGGCAGCGGGGTCCGGAACTCAGAGGGCCAATCGCAATCGGGAGACGCATCGGAAGCGGCTAATCAGAATCTGCCAAGGGGGTGGACCGTCGGGAGCCGGAGCCAGGCGAGGGAAGGGAGGGGTAGAGATGGAGCGCTCGCCAACGTCCTTCGTTCCTGGTCGGCCCGCCCCACACAGCTTCATCCAATCACAATGCCTAGGGCTAGAAATGGAGCCAATCAAGTTCAACCCGGAGGTGGGGACTCTAGCGCTCAATTAGTATAGGGTTAGAAACCCAGAGACCGCAAGCCGGAGGCGCCCCGTCCTTTTCCAAAGAAGACCAATAGCAAACCAGATACAGGGGAGTGACTGTCAAGAAGACCAATTAGAGCTTTCGGGGGAAGCTGGCCCGGCCCCTTCTCTGAGGACGGCCCTACCTACCAATAGCATGAGCGAGAAGGCGATCCCTTAGCTAAAGGAGGCGGGTGAGCTAGAACTTTTGAGACTGAGGTAAAGAAAGTTAGTGTGGCGCCCTGAGCCTGCTGGGATTGCCGTACTGGGGCTGGAATAACGCGTGCGAGCCGGACGTGTTAGGGAGCTAGCCAGCGTTGAGGGCGTGAGAGAGGCCGAAGACAGCTGGAGGCCAGCCCGCAGGCAGTTGTTGCAGCCGAAAGGGCCGCGAGGGCCATTTCCGTCTTCGGAAGCTGAGCCCCTGCAAGGGTCTTGGGACCCCAGGGACGTGGAGGGGGGCGGGGTGGGGTCATCCTGGAGGCAGTGGCCGTGCAGAGAATCGAGGGGGAGTTGCCCGGCTCCCCGGGGTCATCAGAGGACCTCCCCTGGGCAGGAATTGTAATAATAACCCGATCTCAGGATTCTGGAAGCTACTTTAAAAGGACTTCATGGGACCGGGGATTTAGCTCAGTGGTTCCGGCGCCTGCCTTGCAAGCGCAAGGTCCTGAGTTTGATCCCCGGTACCAAAAAAAAAAAAGACTTCATGATCTGAGCAAAGCCTTCGTTTTACAAGGAAACTGAGGCAGGAGGGCGGCTGATGAGTTAGCAAGAGCAAAGAGCGAGAGCCTGACAGCTGGCTTTCAAAACCAGGTTCCAGCAGGACATGGAGGTGCACAACTGTCATCCCAGCAATTTGGGAGGCTGAGGCAGGAGGATCGCAAGGTTCCAGCCCAGCCTGGACAACTTAGCAGGACCCTGTGTCAAAAAAAGAGCGGGGGCTGGAGATATAGCTCAGTGTGAAGGCCTTGCGTTTAATCCATAGTACTGGGGTGGGGGAAGCAAAAGCCAGGTCTTGATCTTCCACTCCGGGCTTTGCTGACTTCCTCTGCTTTCATCATGGTTTTGGTCTATCTGAAACCTCTTACTTGTTTCTTGGGGAAATGGAGTGAAGAAAGGGGACCCAAATCCAAGTGGCAGCAGAAAGTGCTTTTTCTGTCCACTTGGAGATCACATTCTCTGTAGTGAAATAAAACTCTATTTAATAGAGTCCACTTTGTATGCTGATGGTTGCCCACCACCAGTAACGGAAGTCAGCTTTCTCCTGAGTGACCTCTCAGATGTTGATATGCCTAAACACTTACTAACTTATTGAAATACCTTCTTAGGTATTCCAAAACTGCTCTTTGCTAGTTGCATAAATAAGGATCTGTACTCGCCTGCAGGGCCAGCTGGGTGTCCACAGGCCTGGAATTCCTTTGAGCCCCCAGAAGAGCCAGCTACTCCTTGAAGGTGCAGAACTTCTTCCCTCTTCAGAGCCCACATCAGCTCCCAGGATGTGTCCTAAGCTTTCAGAGCAAATCCATCCCCTTCTCCCACCTTAATGGCTTGCTCTTCATGCATGCAGTGATGTTCCTGGACCCTGGAAAGCGGCCTGCTTTTGGATTGTTTTCATGTGACCATAAAGAGCAGTGCTGAGGGGCAGCCCACTTTCCTGGCCCCCTTATCTCTCTTAGAAGCTAGCTTTCTTTCAATAAAGATTTCCTGGAAGAAAAAAAAAGTTGTGCTGGGTTGCTGGGTTCCTGTATGGGCCAGGTGGTCAGGGCAGGGTGCTCTTACCCCTCAGCTGTCAAACTGTCCTACTTTTGTCTTCTTTTCTGAATTTGTACTCTTGGGCTACAAATCCCTGGAGGCCCGGCCTGCTTCGATGCATAGGATTCACCAGCTTCTCTACAGCATTGGTGCTGAAAGGGCCTTGAGGGAAAATCTACCCCCTGCAAGTCAAAGTATCATCTCTCAGGAGTTTACACTTTATTTCTCCAGTGTCCTGCATGTCCCATGAGCCACCCAGCTAAACATGAGCTAGAACCCAGGAGCCAGGTCCCAGGGCATATTCAGGAGAGTAGGTCACAGTGGCTGGACAGTGAGGTCACAGAGAGGTTTGTTTGGCCTGGACTCCATGAGGGAGGGGCCCAAGGGGTCCTCCAGGCCCAGACAGGGGACATGGTGTGGGAAAGGCAGTGGGGACAGGGCCCAGAGAGATGAGGGCAGGAGCAGGGAGGTGACAGTCAGGATGGTGAGAAGAAGCCAGAGACAGAAGCTGAAAAAACTGACTGGGCTGTGCGGCCGGGAGGAGGGGCTCCGGGTGAGGGGGTGGTGAGGACTGGAGCAAGGCAGGCAGGGAGGGTGGGCCCAAGGACCTGGAGACAGGTGGCAGGGTTTAACAGCACAGAGCAGAAGTCAGATGAGGCCTGAGACAGGAGTTCACGAGAGACAGGTTTAGTGAGCTGGGCGTGGTGGCACATGCCTGTGAGCCCAGCACTTGGGAGGCTGAGGCGGGAGGATTGCCACAAATTCCAGGCCAGCCTGAGCTACATAGTGAGTTCAAAGCCAGCCTGACTGAACTACATAGACCCTGCCTCAAAAAAACAAACAAGAAATGAAAGATAAAGACAGGTTAAGATCAGGATGGAAGAAGTGCCACCCTCACAGAACTCCCATGCCCCCCCCCCCACTTCTTCTTGGGTAGGTGAAGCGGAACTGTCCTTCTTGTGGCCCAGAGTATGAGAGTGACGAGAAGGGGAGAGAGAACTCTATTTCTGTTCAGTTGTTCCCTCCAGAGCTGGTGAGTCTTGCTGCGTGGGGGGGCAGCATTGAGAATGCAGGATGGGGGCCAGACCACTCCAGGGCTGCAAATGACCAGGCTTCCTGCCTCCCCCCCAGGTGGAGCATATCGCCTCTTTCCTCCCAGTAAGAGATGCAGTTGCCCTAGGCCAGACCTGTCACTACTTCCGAGAAGTGTGTGACACTGAGGGCGTATGGAGGCGCATCTGCCACAGGCTCAGTCCACACCTCCGGGAACAGGGTTCTGGAGTCCGGCCCTGGAAGAGAGCAGCTGTTCTGAACTGTATGCCTTCCCCAGTGCCCCTCTCCTCGCCTCAGTCCTTCCTTGTTCTGGGAATCTTGTTCTCTAAACTGGGCTCCCTGTCCACCTTGAAGGCACTTTTCTCTGGCTATTTGTCAGATTCAAACAGACCCCATGAGTAGCTCCCCTGAGACCCCAGGGCCACCCTCTGATAATGTCCCAACCAAGTGTCCCTGAAGATACCAGCTCTTCCACTTCTCACCCTGAGGCATCCCCTCCTTGCCAAGCCTGGAGTTTCCTTCCTCTAAATCAGGGCTGCTGATTTAGAATGATGAAGTCAGTCTTTGGGATGGGGTCTGTCTTGTGCATTCTGTTCTGTTTACCATCATCTCTGGCTTCCACCAGCACCTCCATAGTTATGACAACCAATGACACAGTCAGCCCCAGCTTCAGAACCACACGGTAGTCTAAGCCCTCCAGGGAGCCCCTGTCCAGTTGTTTCTGTCACACACAGACTAGGGCAGAAGACTGATCCAGAAAGCAGATCCACTTCTGGGGTGAGGAAAGGTTACTGGCCTTTCTTGGTCATGTCAATCCTCTTTCTGCCCCTTTTCTATGTATTTATTCTTATCTTTTCTTCACCTCTTTGTTGCAAAGTTGGACCAAAGAGGGCCTTTTTTAGCAGCACAGGTATGGCCTTGGGCTGAGGAGGGGCAGACTGGAGTCTAACCTTTCCACACTGCCTTGGGAAGGGCTATATTTCCAAGGTTGGAAATGGGGAAAGCTAAACAGCACGGTGTCTGAGAAATCAGTTTGCCCAAACTCTGAATCATTCTCCTGCGTGTCAGCCCTGGCCCCTGAATGTTTCATCTCCTTCCCTTCTCCAGACACGAAGGGCCTGTATTTCCAGGCATTTGGAGGCCGGCGCAAATGTCTCAGCAAGAGCGTGGCCCCCCTGCTAGCCCATGGCTACCGTCGATTCTTACCCACCAAGGACCACATCTTCATTCTCGACTACCTGGGGACTCTCTTCTTCCTCAAAAACGCTCTGGTCTCCACCCTTGGCCAGATCCAGTGGAAGAGGGCGTGCCGCTACATTGTGTTGTGTCGTGGAGCCAAGGACGTGAGTCAAAGGACCCTGGCATCCCTGAGGTGTCCTTCTCCGGACATCTCCATTCCTTACCCTGGACCCCAGTAGCTCACCTTCCACCCAGCCTCTTCCCCTTCTGAGGCCCTAGATCCCAGACACCTCCTTTTCCTCCAGTTTGCCTCCGACCCAAGATGCGACACAGTTTATCGTAAATACCTCTACGTGTTGGTCACTGGGAAGCAGTCGGGAGTGGCAGGCACCACCAGCAGCCGGGCCTGTGACTGTGTGGAGGTCTACCTGCAGTCCAGTGGGCAGCGGGTCTTCAAGATGACGTTCCACTACTCTATGAGCTTCAAACAGATTTCGCTGCTTGGGCAGGAGACCCAGCGGGCTCTGCTGCTCCTCACAGGTGTGGGTGTGGCCTAAAGCTGTGGTTTGCAGATGTTTCCTGCAGATTCTCCAGGGCCTCTGTGGGGAAGAGGGAGGGAGGCCTTTCACACAAGGCCTTCACACCACCTTAGGTGGCTCTTGATCCAAACAGTTTCTGCTTTTATTTGCCTCCTAGTCTAGGCCTGAGTATCATATTTCATGTGAATAAAGGACTCTCCTGCCAGAAAGAAAGAGAGAGAGAGAGAGAGAGAGAGAGAGAGAGAGAGAGAGAGAGAGAGAGGAAAGAAAGAAAAAGAAAGAAAAGAAAAGAAATCACTACTCTAGTGAATGCCTGAGTTTTAAAATTCTACTCCCCCACCCACCATGCCAGGCACCTCATTTAATAGCCCACACCAGCCCCCCTTCTGCAGTCTCGTCTGTACTTGACCACCCCTCAACCCCAAGACCTCTGGACTCCGAATGCCAGGCAGAACCCCAAGTGCCCAGACTTCATCTTCCCAACACTCAGACTAATTCTGCCATGTGGCATGGCCAGGTTCTCTCCCTGCTCCTCTCTCATGCTGACATAGCGCCCTGACTTATTCTTGGGACTGGGGTGAAGGGACTTGGGACCACTCTTCCCATTTCATCTCTACCCTTTTTCTTCCAACGTCTCTCTAAGGCAGTAATGGTTCATCCATGTGGCTTAGGGAGTTCAGTGGGGCATTACGGTGGCTATTGATGAGTCCCCACCCCAACATAATTGTATCCCTCCCCTCATCACTCAGAGGAAGGAAAGATCTACTCTTTGGTAGTGAATGAGACACAGCTGGACCAGCCACGCTCCTACACAGTTCAGCTGGCCCTCAGAAAGTTGTCCTGCTGCCTGCCTCACCTGCGTGTGAGCTGCATGACTTCCAACCAGAGCAGCGTCCTCTACATGACCGGTATGAGCCACCTCCCTTCCTCACAAGCCCCCAGCCTTAGGCTGACACCCTCACCCTTATTCCAGCTGTGTGGTGTGAGCCCCTTAGGACCTCCTCCTGAAAAGCTGGGTCTAGGTTCCCAGGAGTCAGAGCTGATGCATTTCTAGTGGATGTGATGCTCCCTGGGCTTGCACCTTTCCTCCCAAGTGGGACCTTTGCCCTAGGAAACGGGTACCCAAAGCTGCTGAGCTGAGGGCTCCCAACCCCCCAGACCAGGGGGGAGTGTATTTTGAGGTGCATAGCCCAGGGGTGTATCGTGACTTCTTTGGGACCCTTCAAGCCTTTGACCCCCTGGACCAGCAGATGCCACTTGCTGTCTCCCTGCCTGCCAAGGTAGGATCCCAGAGGGGCCGGGCAGACCAGAGGGGTGGGGCCTTAGGGACTAGGAGATACTGAGGGCCTAAAATAGGAACAGGGATCCATGATTAACCAGGGAGGGGTAGGGGCCCAGGGAGAGGGCAAGGCCCAAAGGGATGAGCTAGGCGGTAGAGGGTGAGCAGATGGGAGATCTTGGATCTCAGAGTTCCCACCTGCCCTCTCTCTTACGTCCTAGGTCCTATTCTGTGCCCTTGGCTACAACCACTTTGGCCTGGTGGATGAATTTGGCCGAATCTTCATGCAGGGGAATAACAGATATGGGCAGCTAGGAACAGGGGACAAAATGGACCGGGGGGAACCCACACTGGTGAGATTGTTTCCCAGCAACTCTCGTTTAAACCCTCTTCCTCCAATTCCTTGACCCCTGCTGCATCTATATACTTTTCCAACTTCTGTAGAATCCACTTTCTCCTGTCCAGGAGAGTGAAGCCAGTGTATGAGATGCCTGTTATGTTACTGCATGGTCTCACTCGGGGTTGGCACTAGACGGTCTATTCTGTGTGGTTCATATTGTAAACCACAGTCAGAATTGAATGACGGCGTGGCTGGGGACCTGAGAAGGCAGGGACCAAGGAGGGACCAAATAGGTCAGCTGGCTGTGGCACACAGGAGCCTGGTGAGGGACAGCAGCACTAGACACAAGGGCTTGGGCTGGTACGTGGCAGCAGGAATGGAAAGGAATGGGTATAGGAGATGTTTTAGGAGAAAATAAACAGGCCCTCAATACTGATTACTGGTTTCAGGAAAACAGTGTGAATTTGGACTTGTTGCAGGGAGAGTAAAACCCTAAATTGGAACTGTCTAGCTGGCATTCCAAGTTGGAACAAGTTGGAAATGACAAAAGCAGAGACAGAGGAGCAAATCGGGGCAGCAGCCACCACTGTAGGCGGGGATGAAGAAGCGAGGCTCTGGGATGGGAGGCTCAGCCCTCCACTGCCACATTCCAGAAGCCAAAGAGCAGAAAGTCTCAACAGGGCATGTGGGAGGGGGCTGCTGGCGACACTGTGATGACATAGAAAGATGATGATCCTATACATTTAAGTGAAAAAAACCTTTATGAAATGGGTTACATAGTACAATTTCATTTTTGTTTGTTTTGTTTTTTGAGACAGGGTTTCCCTCTGTAGTTCAGGCTGGCCTTGAATTCACTGTGTAACTGAGTCTGGCCTTGAATTTGTAGTGATCCTCCCACCTTAGCCTCACAAGTGCTGGGATCACAGGTGGGCACCGTCACACCTGGCTTTATAATCTCATTTTTGTTTAAAAATATACAACCTATGTGTATTTGTTTAGGCATCAATGAAGAATACCCAGCAAGATGTTAATTGTTCATGGTGGGATTTCCAGTTGATTTTTAACATTTTTATTTGTTAGTATTTTGTAATGGGGGGACGGACAGGGTTTCACTATGTAGTTCAGACTGGCCTTGAACTGACTATGTAGCCTAGGCTGGCCCTGAACTCACAGCAATCCTCTTGTCTCAGCCTCCCAAGTTCTGGGATTACAGGCATGCACCACCAGGCCCAGCCTTGTAATTTTCTTTTAAGGACCATAGATTGCTTACCTGTCTCTTTGAAATTAAAATGTTAACAGGCTCAGGAGAACGAGCATACAGAAGAGGTCCTGGGTTTTAGCAGCTGAGAAACTAAGTACCTTTTGGAGAGAACAAAACAGAGCATGTTAGGGAGAGAAGCCAGATCACAAAGGTTTCACAAGGTTTCGGAAAGACTGGTAAGGAACAAGAATGTGGTCAGCCTCAGATTGGTCAGGTAGCCAATTCTGCTACTTCAAAGAGAGAGAGCTGGGGATTTAGCTCAGTGATTCTGGCGCCTGCCTTGCAAGGGCAAGGTCCCGAGTTCGATCCCCGCTACCAAAAAAATAAACAAAGAGAGAGGTAGGAGTTGGACACCTGTAATACCAGCACTTGAGGCTGAGCCAAGAGGATTGCTATGAGTTTGAGGCCAGCCTGAACTACATAGTGAGACCTTGTCTCAGAAAAAGACGTGGGGAGGGGAGCAACAAGAATCAGACATGTTTTTCAAAATAAAGTGGCCATTTTAGAAGATAATAGTGGGATACACTGAAAATGCTAGAGAGAGAATGGAAAGAAATTCTTTCCTTGGGGCTGGGGATTTAGCTCAGTGGTTCCGGCACCTGCCTTATAAGCTCAAGGTCCTGAATTCGATCCCTGGTGGCAAAAAATAATTTTTAAAAAGTAGGCATGAGCAAAATATTAAAGGGGTGGTGCACAATGTTAAAAAAGAAAATCTTTCCTTGAGAGCGTGGGCATAATGCAGAGTTGTGCAGGAAAGGTGAGGAGGCTTCAGCCCTTGTGAAGAGGCTGAAGGTTGGTAGCACAGAGTGTGGGCTGAGAACAAGGGAAAAGACAGCAGGCCTCGGTCTCAGGCAAGAGGTACCCACAGAGGCTGCGTCATGGGTCAGAGTGTTAGGGGCTGCAGAGTACACAGACTGGTGCTGCTCTGCCTTTGGTGGGGGAGGGGAGGGTGTAGGGCTCCCGTTTCTTCCCTTCCTAGGTGACATTCTTCCCTGAACCTTCCAGCCAGCCTTCTCCCTTGGGCCCCCAGCCCCCTGCTGTCCCCCTCTCCAGGACCCTGGCCTTGTGTCCTCAGGTACCTTATCTGCAACGCCCCATTGCCCTGTGGTGTGGCCTCAACCATTCCCTGGTGCTGAGCCAGGATTCCGACTTCAGCAAAGAGCTACTAGGCTGTGGCTGTGGGGCCGGTGGCCGCCTCCCTGGCTGGCCTAAGGGGAGCGCCTCGTTTGTCAAGCTCCACGTCAAGGTCAGAGCAGGGGCAGGCAGGTGGGACCCCTGGGAGGGGACAGTAGAGCCAGCTAGCCCACAGGACTGTAGCCAGGTCTCCTGCAAGGATCCAGCCGGCCCATTCCCCTGCACCACCCCACCTCCCTTTCCTGCCACGTGCACACACATAGCTCTGTCCCTTAGCAGACCCTGCTGGCCTTCTGTGACCCTGCACAGGCCCAGTTTGGAGCCAGTACAGCTCACTTGCTGGCTCAGGGCTGTTCTGAGAACAGAAACACACCAGCCAGATTAGTCAGCTTCCTGGGAGCCCCTTCAGTGCGAGCGCACACCCCTTTTCTCTTTCAAGGTCCCTCTGTGTGCCTGCTCCCTCTGTTCCACTAGAGAGTGCCTCTACATGCTGTCCAGCCACGACATCGAGCACTGCTTATCCTATCGGGACCTGCCAGCCCCCTGGGCGGTGGACAGCCTGGAGCCCAGCCTGGGGGCCAGAGCCCCCCAGGACACTGGGGTAGCAGCCTGGGCCTTCGAGGAGTACCTCAGCCAGATCCACAGTTGCTCCACATTGCAGGACCGCATGGAGAAGATGAAGGAGATCGTGGGCTGGATGCCCTTGATGGCTGCACAGAAGGATTTCTTCTGGGAGGCCCTGAACATACTGCAGAAGACTCCTGGGGGGGCTGCCCCAGGCCCCTCAACCCCTGAGAGTTGACCCCGCTCCAGACCTCACCCCTGGAGGGACAGTGGCCTTGGGGCAAGGGCTACAGAGAGATGAGTGGTGGCAATGAACTCTGTATATCCACATGAGGAGGGGTCACAGGGGGACGGGGGCAGCCAGACCTGGCAGGGTAAGGCAAGGAATGAACACTTTTGTAAAATATTCAGGGGGCTGCCCAGGTGGAGCCCCCAACCTGATACCATGGAAAAGAGATCTGATGAACAAACAGAATAAAAGGTTGAAGTAAGACACAGTTTGGAACCATGGAGCCCTGTGGGAGGGGACATAGGGTAGGAGATGGGGCACCAGCACCTGGGCTGTAGGTGACACAGAGCAGGAGCAATCAAACCCTGCACTGCTGGGAGCTGTTGGCACCTGAGTCCCTCCCCTTCCCACTCCAAAGACCTCACCTGGTGTTTTTGAACTTGGAAGTCCTGGCCCCACCTCTGGGGACAACTCACCATGTATGTTTGGTTCCTGAGTTTAGGTCCTCTATCAGTCGTCTGCTTCCGGAATCCACCTCATCCCCCTCATTCCAATGCACTCCATGCCCTCCACTCTTCCTCCTATTTACCTCCCAGGCCTGGGCTCCTGTGGGCTTTCTCTCCCTTACTTTCTGTTCCTTCCCCCTTGTCCTCAGTAGAGGGATGGATACTCCATGCCTCCCTGCCCTTCTCTTGTACTTTCAGATATTTAGAAGAAAAAAATGGGTGAGCAGAATTCTTCCTCCCTGGCCAGGTGTGGTGGGCTCAGCTCACACCAGTAATCTCTGCTCCGAGAGACTGAGGCAGGATCATCAAAAGTTTGAGCTCAGGCTGGGCAACTTAGTGAGACCTTGTCTCAAAATAAAAAATTTAAAAAGGGCTGGGGATGTAGCTCAGGGCAAAGGCCCTGGGTTCAATCCCCAATGGTGAAAAAAAAAATCTGCCCCCCAGGTGTAGAGGGGAGGCAGTAGAAATGTGTAGCTGGGGCCAGGGATGGCCAAGAGGTGAATGGGTGGGGGTCTCAGGAAGGGCATCTTCTGGGTGCTGAGGGAGCAGGGGATGAAGAGAACTGAGTCCCCAGGAAGGACCAGAGCTCTGCCCACATGGTGCTCAGGCATGGGACAGAGCGGAGTTCCGGTGACAGTATCTGAGGGCTGGAGGATGCTCCCCCTGCCCCTCATTGCTCCACCCCTCCTTAGGTCAATATTCTGAGTCCTAGACTAGAGAGGCCCCTGGACTCACCACGGTCACAGCTGTCTCCCTGTCCCGCCTTCACCGCCCGGCCCACAGGCCAGTCCCCACGCCCACACGCCCCAGGCTGTCTCATCTGGCACTGATTACCCCGCCGCCACTGCTGCTGCTGCTGCTGCTGCTGCTGAACTTAGCTGCTGCCTCTGGGCCGAGGACCCCAGCACAGTCCTCCAGACATGCTGCCCGCTGCCCCAGCCTCCCTCCTGGGGCCCCTCCTCACAGCCTGGGCCCTGCTGCCTCTTGCCCAGGCCCAGACCCCCAACTACACCAGGTAGGTCTCAGCATCTCCAGATGGCCCAAGTGAGCTTCCAAACGCTGGCTCTTGGGGGCTGTGCCTGTGGGTCTCACAGACTCTGCTAACACCTAGCCCCGGCAGATCGGCAGATCTCCCACCCCATCCTCTCCAGCACCCAAGTCCTCCCCTCTGCTGTAAGACCACGATCTCCTGCAGGTCACCACCCCTCCCACTCTTTCAACCTTCACCTTCTACCCTTCTAGTCTCCTCCTCCACCCAGACCTAAGGCCCCCCATGGAGCTTGAAAGGCGAGCCAAGACCCTGAACTTGCCTGGTAGCTGACATCTGGCTTCCAGAAAGGAAGGAGAGATGGGGTGGGGGTGGGGGCAGCTAGAGGAGCCATGGGGGTCTGATACTCAGAGTTAGCTGGAACAGGAGCAGGGCGAAGGTGGGGGTGCTCAGAGCCTGGTCTCTGGGCCCAATTGGAGGGCCATCTCTGCGCTGCTCCTTGTCCCCGCCCCTCCCCCCTACCGCCTGGCCTCGTGGCCGTCCACATCTGGAAGTAGTTAGGCAGCTCCTGTTCCAGACTGCCAGGCAGCGTGAGGGAGGAGAGCTGGCAAGGGGGCCCCCCCAGGAGGATTCCGGGAATTCCTGTGGGGGTGGGGGTGGGGTGGGGTGGGCCTCTGGGGGGTGGGAGGCACAGTCCAGTTGTTGGTCCCATGTTTTCCTCATCCTACTCCAATCCCAGCCCAGCTGGCTGAGGCTCTCCTGGATCCCTTTGGGCTTCTCCCTCATGTCCCTGGCCTCCCACCCTGGCTAACCCATCCCCACCCCTCAGCTGCTCCCCACTGCTGACTGACTCCTTCTGTTCTCCAGACCTGTGTTCCTGTGTGGAGGGGATGTGACAGGGGAGTCAGGTTACGTGGCAAGTGAGGGTTTCCCCAACCTCTACCCCCCCAGTAAGGAGTGCATCTGGACCATCACGGTGAGAAGACCCCTGTGGTCGCTGTTCTCTTATCATCGTCTCCCAGGCAAAACTCGGACACTAATGGGTGCCCCCTCCCTGAACCACCTTCTAAGCCAGGGGATCAATCCCCAACATAACCAGTGCCCAGTTGACTTCTTAACCCATAACTCAAATCCTGATTTTCCACCCCCAACTTCCTTCCGGTCCTCTCATCTCACCCAAGGCCTCTGCTCTGCAGCCATAGGTACTTTCTAGCCCCAGCCATTGCTGTAGGAAATACTCGGGAAAGGGGTTAAGACCTCTGCCAGGGTTTTGTGCAGCCTGACGCTGTGGGTCTCATGCCTCCTGTCCCTGATGTCAGGTCCCTGAGGCCCAGACTGTGTCCCTCTCCTTCCGAGTCTTTGACATGGAGCTGCACCCTGCCTGTCGTTACGATGCTCTGGAGGTCTTTGCTGGGCCTGGAACCTCGGGCAAGCGGCTGGGACGCTTCTGTGGGACCTTCCGGCCAGCACCCCTAGTCGCCCCTGGTAATCAGGTGACGCTGAGGATGACAGCAGACGAGGGCACAGGAGGACGAGGCTTCCTGCTGTGGTACAGCGGGCGGGCCACTTGGGGCAATGGTGAGCCTCCCTCACCACCACCTTCCCCTTTCCTTGTCCGGTCCCTGCTCAGACCCCAGCCCCCAGCCCTAACCTCAACCCCCAGACAACCCAATCCCAAGAGCCTAGGGCCACCAATACTCCCTCACCCTTTCTCCTCACTAACCGCCCCTTCAGTCCCTCCTCCCCGTCTTCTCTCCCTTTCCTGCTCCCACCCACCCTCTTCCAGGCCCCCCCCCAGGCGCGAGGCGGAAATGGGTCATGGACCCACGGGTGGAATGGGCGGCCTGGGGTTACTGGGACGGTGAGTAACTGCCCGCCTCCATCCGCAATCGGGCTCCCTCCGACGGGCGCGAGGGGGCACCCCAGGGCTGGGGGACTAGAGCCCCCTGCACCCAGCCCTGGGCTCCCGATTGCGGTCCCATCACCCTCTCCTGGTGGCAGACATCTCCCTGGAAATCTTTCATCCGGGGACTTCCCGGCAGGGGCCAAGTCGAGGGCACCCTCACAAAGGGAACTCCTCTGCCAGGCTGGGGAGATGGGATCTCCCAGGGGAAGAGGCTTGGGTCGGGAGGGGCAAAAAGGGGCGCATCCAGCCAGTTCTTCCCTTCCGCGGTGCCAGGCTGCAGCCCGGAGTCCCATCCTTTCCTCTCAGCTCCCTCTCTGCTAACCTTCCCTCCCTCTCTCCTGCCCACGCCTCGTCCGTCCCCTCAGCCTGAGACCCAGAGGGCCGAGCTGCCTGCCCGCCTCCCAGCTCAAACTCGCCTCCAGCTTACTGAGGGTCTCCACCGCCCCGCCCCTCCCCCTCTCTCCCCTCCCCAGAGCACCAGTTTTGTGGGGGGCGGCTGGAGAAGGCACAGGGGACCCTCACCACGCCCAACTGGCCCGAGTCCGACTACCCCCCGGGCATCAACTGTAACTGGCACATCATCGCGCCCCTGGACCAGGTACCCACCCCCTGCCCCGACTGCCCGGGGGGACCCAGGCGACCTTCCTGCACCTACCCAGCAACAGCAAGGATTTATTGAGCACCGTCTGTGTCCCAACCCCAGAGCTTGCGTGGCCCAAAAATAGACTCAGACCCCGATTGCACGCAAACTAAAACTGTAAAATCACAACTGTGGAGTCTTAGAAGAGCAAGGTACACGGTGCTGCTAAACTGTGGGCGCCGCGGGGCGGGGATGGCGGGGTTGTCCCTGGAGAGTGAGCCAGGACTTGACCTTGCCAGCGGGGCAATGGCCGTCCCTGCAGGGTCCCATGCGGGTACAGGGCCCTCTGATGGGCGGTGTGAATGCATGGAGGGGGAGGCGAGAGGAGCAACCTCCGCCTCGGCCGCCGCCAGGTGATTCTGCTGACGTTCGGGAAGTTCGACCTGGAGCCCGATACCTACTGCCGCTACGACTCGGTCAGTGTGTTCAACGGAGCAATTAGCGACGACTCCAAGAGGCTGGGGAAGTTCTGCGGTGACACCGCCCCCGGGTGAGGGCGGGATGGGGTGGGGAGAATCTGGGTGTCACCAGGGTTTTGAGGGGTGCGGTGAAGCTGAGGGGTTGGATCTGAGCCCTGGGATTCCAAATGTGGCTGGGCGGAGGCTTGGTGCCCGGTCTGGGTCTGCAGATCTAGAAGCTAGAAGCCAGGCGACCTAGGGGAAGAGGTCAAACGGCCACGTGCTGGGGAGGCGGCGGGTGTGCGGCCGCCCTAACACCTCCCGCGATGCCCACAGCCCCATTTCCTCCGAAGGCAACGAGCTCCTGGTCCAGTTCGTCTCGGATCTCAGCGTCACCGCTGACGGCTTCTCCGCCTCCTACAAGACCCTGCCTCGGAACGCTGCTGACAAAGCGCCAGCCCCAAGCCCAGGAGGGGATGCCCAGCAGGGCACTCCCACTCTCGGCACCAACTCGGAGCCAGGAGCTGGACCCAAAGTCAAGCCACCCACCAAGCCCAAAGTTCAACCTGCAGAGAAGCCAGAAGCTTCACACAAGGCCCAGGGAATTCCAGTGAGCCCCAGTGAGTCCAGGCAGCGGGAAGAAGGGAGTTGTTTCAGACGGTCTTCTTGGCTCATCCATTCTTTCACTTATTCATTCATTCTACACTCGCTGGTACTGGGTGCTGGGAACCAAAGCTGGGGATAACACTCTGAAGGCGTTATGGAGAAAGTGGTCCTTCCTACCTGCTGGGTAGGTCCTCTCCACAAACAGCCCCATCCCTCCTAGATGCCCCCACTGTCACCTGCCCAAAGCAGTACCGGAGAACAGGCACCTTGCAGAGCAACTTCTGTGCTAGTGATCTGGGTAAGAAGCCCCTCCCCATTCCCTACCCTTGCAGCTCCTTTATCCATCTCCTTTCTGGTGCTGGACCTCCCCTGGCCTCCTGTCTCCTCATCTCTCACCCCCATTCTCCCACAGTGGTGACGGCAAAAGTGAAATCCATGGTTCGGGGGCCAGGCGAGGGCCTCACTGTCACTGTCAGTCTCATTGGTGTTTATAAAACTGGAGGACTGGACCTGCCCTCTCCACCCACTGGCACCTCCCTGAAATTTTACGTGCCCTGCAGGCAGTACCCGCCCATGAAGAAAGGTAACAGAAAAATGAGATCGGGAGGGGGCACTTAATGACACTAAAATAACAGAGGTATAAAATCTGAGTGAGAAAATGCATTGATATAGTGGTGCACACCTGTAATCCCAGCAGTCTGGGACAGGAAAATTGCAAGTTGGACTCCAGCCTGGGCAACATAGTGACTTAGTGAGATCTTGTCTCATTCTTCAGTACCCCCAAAAAATGTTTTGGCAAGGTCTCAGTAATATGAGCTTTCAGTCTCTCAACTCACCCTCTTTCTCTCCCCCCCGCCCCCCGCCAGGAATCAGTTATCTGATGATGGGCCAGATGGATGAGAATAGAGGTCCCATCCTTCCACCAGAGAGCTTTGTGGTTGTCCACCGGCCTAACCAGGACCAGGTTCTCACCAACCTAAGCAACAGGAAATGCCTCTCCCAACCTGTTCTGGCTGTGGAATCCCAGGCCTGAGACCCAGCCCACCCCCAAGGCCTTGGGCCCCCTTTCTTATGCAAATAAATGTTTTTTATCTGAGGAAGGGGGTCTTATTTCCATTTCTATGACTCAGAAATGGATGACTTAGACAGAAGGGCCCCATCCTGGGGATTTCATTCATTCATTCATCAAGCTTTTAGTACACAGTAAAATCCCCAGTACCACAAAAACACCACCACCACCACCACCACCAATTGTTTGTTTTTTTTTTTTTTTTTTTGTACCGGGGATGGAACTCAGAACCTTGCGGTTGCAAGGCAGGTGGCAGAACCACTAAGCTAAATCCCCGAGCCTAAACAAAGTGTTCTTGTAGAGAGAATATTCTACTTGTGAAGAGATAAAATATAATGTCAAGTAGCACTGTAAATGCTACAAGGAAAGCAAAAGCTTGATTAAGAGGACAGAGGGGATTCTATGTAAGTAAGGTGCTCAGGAAAGTCTTTTCCTCATTAGATCAACTTAGTTTTTGCTACACTGATCAGTAATTGTGTGGCCTACGGTGAGATTCTTCACCTTGTCAAGGCTGTTTCCTCGTCTGTAAAACGAGATGAAGATTCAGTGGGACGACGTAAGCAGCAGGGTTAGGTGGGTCTTAAATTCCCTATGGATATGTGACTGATTCCCAGGGCCGTCCAGGAAGGAGAGAAATAGGACCTGAGCCCAGAGCTGAAATCTAATGATTTGGGAGATCTCAGAGTAGGAAGGAAAAAAACTCAGATTCACATCGCAGCCCCGCCTCTCCCAGGTACTTCGCGGCTTGAATTTAAACCTGAGACGCCCATAAACTTCTTACATCACTGAGATCAAGCCAATCATCGGTGCCAGAAGAGAGACTTCGGTTTGGTCTTTAAGAGACCAATCAGAGTAAATTTAGGCGGAAACGAGAGGACTCTGGCCAATGAGAGAGGCCGTACGGCGGAAGTGCAGGAAGGGACTCGGGGAGATGGCGATCTTAGTCTGGCCACAGGTTGACTTTGACCACAAGGTGATTACCATAGCACGAGCGGCCCTTCGGAGACGGAACCCCGACAAGGCACGGGCCGAGTTCAGGGAGGGACAGGAGACCAGGAGACGTGAAGGGCTGCTCCAAAGGAGGCCGCTGCAGAGGGCGGACTCCGGCCCGAAGGATGGGGCGGGGACACAGGAACTCCCGGAAAAGGAGGGACCTTGAGCGGGGAGGCATTTAGGACGATCTCGACCCAGGATTGAGAAACCCCGGATTGGGAGCCACGAGGGGCAGGGTTTAACGAGATGGGCGTGGCCGTCGAGGTGCAGCTTGGGGGCGGGGTCTGCGGGAATCTGGGCTGAGTTGGAAAAGGAAAGGATTGGGGAGCCTGGGTCTAAGCGAGCTGCTTCTTGCGGGGTTTCGACGCGGCAGCAGCAACACTCCAAGCCCTACACGATCTCATCTTGTCCACTTTCGCCCCTACCCCCCCAGCTCTAGACTCCAAGCCTTGTCCCCCGAGCTCTCCCCTCGGATGTACGACCGCCCAGATCCTGCATGCGCCGTGGGGCGCCCCGGGACCTGGAGCTGGTGGGTCCAGGGGCCCCTGGGCGGGGGTCCCGGGGCGCCCTACCTCCCCTGGGAGCGGTCGTCCCCGTCCTCGTCTTTCCCCCGGATCTAGAATTCAGGGCGGACCAAAGGAGCGGACCCCGGCAGCTGCTGACCCTCTATAACCCCACGGGAACTGCGCTTCGCTTCCGAGGTGAAAGGATGGGTGCCTGTTGGGGATCTGGGAGCTGGCAGCAGAACACTGGGGGTCTGGTGTGGGCTGGAGGATTCAGATGAATAGGCCCAGATACCAAATCTTGGCTCCCAAAAGAATCATGTCCAGCCCTGGGATTGGGGGGTTGGAGACAGGTTACTCTAATGTCCCACCATAGGCAAGATTTGTCTAGGATCTTTTTTGTGTCTTTATCCACAGTTCTGTGCACAGCACCTGCCAAATACACGGTGTTTGACGCAGAAGGATATGTAAAACCTCAATCCTGCATTGACATGTGAGTTGGAGGGTGAGACGCTGATGGAAGCCGGGTCACTAGCACCTGTTCTCTAAGGTCTGAGACCTTGTCCTTTTTAAGATGCTTTCCCTACTCTGTCAGCATCTGTTAGGGAACCCTTTCTGGAGGGGAGACCTTCTAAGGGGAGTGACCTCACCCACTTCCTTCCAATGAGCCTCTCTCTCTTATCTTGGACCCAGTGTGATTCGCCACGTGGCCCCCATTCCCAGTCACTATGACATCCAGGACCGCTTCCGAATTGAGCTGTCTGAGGAGGGGGCTGAGGGCCGAGTGGTGGGGCGCAAGGACATCACCTCAGTTCTGCGGGGCCCAGCGTACCCCCTTGAGCTTCAGGGACAGGCTGCACCAACACCCCAGCCAAGGCCTCCAGCCTGGACACCACCACCCCGGGCCAGACACTTCCAAGAGAGTAAGTGAGGCAATGGGAATTCTGGAGTCCTATACAGAGGGAGAAACTAGCATTATCCTAGAGATGAGGTAAAGTGAGTTTGAAAAAGTCTCCTGGTTTACCAGTTTACCTTTGGTGGAAACATTCCAAGTTGAAATTTTGTATCAGGTAAGGAAAAAAGACTACCATTTCCCTGGTTTCTGGCTTTTATTCACTTAGCTCTAACCGAAATACTTCCTATCAGATGTCAGCTCAACTCAGTTCAGTAAGAAACTTATACTGACAGCTGGGTGTATCAGGGCACACCTGCACCCTGGGAGGCTGAGGCAGGAGAATCACAAGTTTGAGCCCAGCCTGGGCAACTTAATGAGACCCTGTCTCAAATAAAAAAAAATTAGCTCAGTGGGAAGGCCCTGCTTTCAATCCCCAGTGCCACCCCCACGCCAGAAAGACAGAGGGCGGGGAGCGAAGCCCATACTGAGCAATTATGCTGTACTGGGTTGTATGCTGGGGTGGGGATGGGAGACACAGAGGTCCCTGCCTGCCCTGCCACAGGACTGCACAGAAGACAGTAGTGAAGGCAGAGTGAGGACAGGGACCAGAGGACAGAGAGTTTCTTGTGGCTATGGGGACAGAGGTGCCAGGGAGGAGAGGACACTCACAGTGTGGCCCTTGCTGGGTGATAAAATGTGGAGACATCTTCCATGTCAGCCTCCTCCCTGGAGGACCTTGGCTGGACAGGAGGGGATGCTGCTGCTAAGGAGCCTTGTTTCCAGATCCACATCAACAGCTGGCCACAAGCTCCTTCATCCTCTTCTTGCTGACCGGCATCGTCTCTGTGGCCTTCCTGCTGCTCCCGCTCCAGGACGAACTCGGCAGCCAGCTGCCCCAGGTCCTGCATGTTTCCCTGGGACAAAAGTTGGTGGCAGCTTATGTCTTAGGTGAGCAAAGTACTGGGTTGGGGGTCCAGGCCCACATCCAGAGAAAGGGGAGCAGGGGCCGAGAGGGCTGCTCACTCTGACTTGCTGTTTCTTTCTCCACACCCAGGCCTTCTCACCATGGTGTTCCTCCGGACCTGAGTGCCCCACTCAACCCCACCCTCTTCCCCCAGGCAGGGACCTGAGGCAGCCACTGTGATGCTAATTCCTTGCCTCAACTGTCTTTTCCTCCTTCCTGCCCAACCCTTAACATTCCGCCCGCCCCCCATACCCAGGGATTTGTATTCATTTTCCAATTTGAATAAAATAAATTTTTAAAATTAAAATGAGAACTGTAGGGTACTTGCTCCTTGCTTCTCACTTCTTATTCAGTACCTAGACAGACTTCAGTTCCGACTGCTGTCATTTTGTAGGGACCCAGGCAGTTGGGGCAGCGAAAGGGTCTAACGAGTATTTAGAAGATCTGGGTTAGTTCTAATGCTGCATCCAAAACACTGTGTGACCTTGGGCAAGTTGTATATAGTTTCTCAGAGTTTTGGTCTCGTGAGAGCATTGAGCAAGTTTTTCTGTGTGTGTGTGCGCGCGCTGCTAAGGATCAACCCAAGGGCATTCCAGATGCTAAGCACACATGCTACCACTGAACTACACCCTAGCCAAGTTGATTCTTTTTTTTTTTCAGACTGGTGATCAAACTCAGGACCTTGTGCTCATGAGGCAGGCACAGTGCCACTGAGCTAAATCCCAGCCCCCAAGTTGATTCTTTTTTTGTTTAGTTTTGTTTTTGTTTTTTGGTACTGGGGATCAAACTCAGGACCCAAGTTGATTCTTAAGATCCCCTTTTAGGGTTGGGTGTGGCTCTCTGATGGAGCACTTGCCTACCTTGTGTGAGGCCCGGGGTTCCATCCCTAGCACTAGGGGGAAAAAATCCCTTTTGGCCCTACAATAGGCTCCTGTTCTCAGCCAATGTGCCTAACTAAAAAGCAGCAAACAAAAATCCCACCTGATGGTTGGGGATTTAGCTTAGTGGTTTGGTGGCCTGCCTTGCAAGCACAAGGACCTGAGTTTGATCCCTGGTACCAAAAAAGAAAAATCCCACCTAATCCCACTGGAACCAGCAGTGCTTCTTGCCAGGGTGGCCCACATCCTTACAATCCCCAGAATCCTTTTCTGCCCTTGTGACCCTTTATCAGTTTTCATTTTCTCCCTTCTTTGAGACTTCAGCTCCTGTGGATCAGAAACACCAAGATCCTTGCCAGGGTTGGGGCAGGGGGCATTGCCTGGTAGAACCTCACCCTAAGCAGGTGGAGAGACTAAGGTACAGGAAATGACCAGGATCCTTGAAAGGCAGAGGAAAGAAGGGACAGAGGGAGCCAGTGACACTGGGCACATGGTTGGTTGGGGACAAAGAATCAGCAAGATAATGTTAGACAGACCCAGTCTGTTACACCACTGGAAGGTTATCAGTTGTTCCAGCTTTGCTCTGGGCCTTGGGACCTCCCTCCTGCTCTGGGAGTCTTGTCCCTCCCACCCCCAACTGTGCTATGGCCCCACAGTGTGCAGAGGATGGGTTCACAGTCTGCACCCAGGAGTCGGGAAAGCTCTTGCCATGCCAGCCAACCCCTCTCACCAGGGTACGAGTGCAGATGATCACCACTAAGTCACTAAGTTGCCCAGGCTGAGCTTGAACTTGAGATAGTCCTGCTTCAGGCTTCCAGAGTGCTAGGATTACAGGTGTGCACCCAGCTCCCAAAATACAATTGAGGTACCATGCAGATTAATGACCCCGCTATATCCACTGTGAAGAGGCCGTGTTGTCAGGGATTCAAGAAGGCATCCACAGACATAGCTGTGAAGGGGCAGTGTGCGGGCTGGAGGAACTTGGGACACATGCTATCTTTCAATTTTTTTGTTTTGTTTTTTGAGACAGGGTCTTGCTGTGTAGTTCAGGCTGGCCTTGAACTCATTGTTGCCCAGGCAGGCCTCAAACTTGCAGCAGTCTTCCTGTCTCAGCCTCCCAAGTGCTGAGGTTGCAGGTATGCACCATCACACCTGGCTACACTCTTTTAGGCAGGTTTTTTAGAAGACAGCACTGAGCTTGCGGGGGGGGGGGCAGAAATGTGTTTCCTAAAACTATTGTAATAAATTATGAAAAATTTAATGGCTTAAAACAACACAAAGTGGGATGGAGGTATAGCTCAGTGGGACAGTGAAGTTTTAGCATATACAAGGCCCTAGGTTCAATGCCCTGCACCAAAAACAAAACAAAATGAACCACAAATTCTCTTACAATTCTGGGGGACTGAAATCCAAAATGGATGCTCTGAAGCTAAGATCAAGGTGTCTGCAGGGATGCATTTCTCTGGAAAGCGACAGGGGAGAGTCTATTTCCTTGACTTTTCCAGCTTGTAGAGGTCATCTGTGTCCCTTGCTTGTGGCCTTTTCCTCCTCCTCACCCCCAGCCCTGGGAACACAAGTCAGTATCTCAGGCATGCTAGGCAAGTGCTCTACCGCTGAGTGACACCCACAGCTTCGTTCTTCATCTTAAAGTCAGGTGTCTTAGGTACTTTCTGAGACAAAATACCCACAAGTTAAAGGAGAAGAGGTTCATTTTGGCTCAGTTTCTGGAGGTTTCAGTCCTTAGTCGCTGCCTCCAAGGCAGTAGAGCATGGCAGAGGGGTTCGGAGAAAGAGCTCATAGCATGGCAGCCAGGAAGCAGCAGCCATCAAGGGAGAAGAGGGACATCTATACATCCAGACCACACGCACAGTGGCCCACCTTTTCCCATCAGGAGTCACCTCCCGACATTACACCGGTAGAAACGCATCCGTGGACTAAGGCAGTGACGAATATCACACACCCGTGATCCAGTCACCTCCCCAAAGCCCCACCTATGAGTGCACAAGGCTCTGGGGGACATCTAGATATAAACCGTAACACCAGGAGGGGAGCATTTTCAAATCTTTTTTTTTTTTGGTACCAGGGATCAAACTTGGGACCTTGGGCTTGCCAGGCAGGTGGCAGAACCACTCAGCTAAATCCCCGGCCCTTCAAATCTTTCTTACTCTGACCCCTGCTTCTACTGTCATGTCTCTGTCTTTGACCTTCCTGTCTCCTTTTATGAAGGTGCTTATAATCACACACCCCCGCCCCAACCTGGGATACGCCCTTGTATTGGTGTGCTAGATCTACCTGAAAAGAATATCATAGGCCAAGGGGTAGGGATTTGGCTCAGTGCTAGAGTGATCCCGTGCTGGGCCCTGGGTTCGATTCCCAGCACTGCAAATAAAACAAAACAACCCTCTCAAAACTAAACAATAGGGATTTATTTTCTCTCAGTTCTGGAGGCCAGGAGCCCAAGATCAAGGTGTCAGCAGGGTTGGCTTCCCCTGTGGCCTTGGTCCTTGGCTTGGAGATGGCTTCCTTCTTGCTATGTCCTCACGTGGTCTTTCCTCTGTGGGCACACATCCCTGGTGTCTCTGTGTGTCCAAACTTTTTCTTATGGGGACACCCATCAGATTAGATTAGACCCCACTTTAAGATCAGGGCCTTGCTTTAACTTCATCACTTCTTTAAAGGCCCTATATCCAAACACAGGTACTGGAAGTTCAAGCCTCGGCATAGGAATTAGGAGAGGAAGACACACAATTCTGCCTGTAACTCTCCCCATCTTTTCTTTTTTGTGGTACCAGTGTTGAACCCAGGGACTTTCCATCCCTAGTCCTTTGTTATTTTATATTTTGAAACAAGGTCTCCCCAAGTCACTAAGTTGACCAGGCTGGGCTTCAACTTGTGATCCTTCTGCCTAGCATGCCCAGCTTACATTCCTCACTATAAGATCCTTAACTTAATCTCATCTGTAAAGTCCATTCTGCCATGTTAAGTAACATTCAGGGATAGGATGTGGACATTTTTATTGAGACCATTACTCTGTCTACTACAGGAAGTAGATGGACGAGGAGAAGGAGGCCTGTGAAGCCACTTTGGAAATTTGTTCTGGAGTATATGTCAGGCAAGCAAGCATTTGAGTAAGTTTCTGATCCTGTTTAGGTTCAGGGTCCTGTGAACCCATCCACCAAATCAGGGCTGGGAGTTAAAAAAGAGGCCACATTTCATCCCGAAACCAAGGGGTTCAAATAGCTGCAGCCTTAGACTAAGAGGCCTTTGCTTCCCAGTGACCAGAGGAGTAAGTGAGACCTCTCCTGCCACTCTGGAGACAAGAGAGGACCAAGGAGATGGGCCCCAGGATTTAGTTTTTATTTTATTTTTTAGTGGCCCTGGGGATTGACACTGAACTACATCCCCAGCCCTTTTTATTTTTAAAATTTTGACCTAGGGTCGGGTCTTTCTAAGTTGCCTATGCTGGGCTTGAATTTATGATCCTCCTGTCTCAGCCTCCCAACGTTCCAGGATTACAGCCATGTGCCACCATTCCTGGCCGGGCCCTAGGATTTATGCCACTTCCCAGGGCGCAAGAGCCAGGGCCACCACCTCCTGAAACCATGATGAGTGGGGCAGCAGCACTTATAATTCCCTGCCCTCCTATAGCTCATACTTCAAGTTCTCCATCCTCACTGGACAAAAATGGCCAAAGGGGATCCCAGGGAGCCAATTCCCAAGCAGGACCAACCTAATGGCACATGACCATTGCAGTCTCACAGGGTAGCATGCTCAGAAGGGGGCCCTGTGTTTGGGCTTTAAGGCTCTTAAATTGCCATCTGGGCTCCATTTTTTTTTTTTTTTTTTTTTGGTAGCGGGGATTGAACTCTAGTCCTTGTGCAGTAGGCAGTGAAACCACTGAGCTAAATCCCCGGCCCTTTAAGTTGCCATCTGGAAAACCATAATTTTATCACTGAATTTAAGTTTTGGAAGTGAAGTCTGCAGGGGCAATGGAGCATGTGCTGGGGATCCTGCCTGCCCTCCCCCATGTAGGCTCTCAGCTCCGCTCTGCCCCCACAAGGGACGAACTTTGTCCCCTCCTTGCCCACAGGGACCTGGACACAAGACCAGGGAGGGTCAGGATCAGGTACTTGCCAAATTCTTAAGTTGTGGAGCAGAACTCTGGGTACCTGGGAGGGACACACACAGAGTATCTCTAAGCCCAGGGAAGTGTGACAGAAAGTAGCAAATTACAGAATAACGGAACACCCTACAGTTAGCGACTGTAAAGCTTTGTACCTGCTTTTTTTGGGTGGAGGGATAGGGTCTCACAATGTAGTTCAGGCTGGCCTCGAACTCACTATGTAGCCCAGACTGGCTGGAACTCCTGGTGATCCTCCTGCCTCAGCCTTCCAAGTGCTGGGATTACAGGGGAGTGCCACCACACTTGGCTTGTTCCTGCTTATTAAACAAGGGCCCCAACATTGGAGATTTAGCTCAGTGGCACTGTGCCTACTTCACAAGCACAAGGCCGAGTTTGATCCCTGGTACTAGAAAAAAAAACCAAAAAGAGCCCTGAATTTTCAGTTTGCACCAGGGCTTGCAAATTATGCAGCTATCCTTGGCTCCAAAGCCAAGACCCCACTCATACCCACGGTGGTCTTTGGAAAATGAACCTTCATTATGCTCTTAGGCAATTTCCTTAGGAAGATTTTTTTTCTTGCATTGGTAATTGAACCTTTGCACTGAGTTACATCCCTAGCCCTTTAAAAATTTTTTGTTTTGAGAGAAGGTCTTGCTAAATTGCTAAATTGCCCAAGCTGGGCTTGTACCTGCAACCCTCCCGCCTCAGCCTCCTAGAGTGCTGGAATTACAGGCAAGGGCCACTATGTTTGGCTCTGCAATTTCCAGCTAAGTTTGCCCAGAGAGACAGCATCCTACATGTGTCCTCTCTGATCCCTCCTGCCCAACACTTCCCAGCTCTCAAGGGAGGGAGGAAGGGAGAGGATGGGGGTGAGGAGGAAGGTGCTTATGAGCAACAGATGTCACTGGTTGGTTTATTGATATGCAAACTCTGTGTCCCTCCTACCACAGACCACCTGTTGGCCATAATAAGGCTGTGGTGCTTGGGCATCTCTCCCACTAAGGGAGCTGGCCAGGTCCAAGGTCTATCACAGCTTCTCGTGGGGTCTAGGTACGGGGATCCTGTTCCGAGGGACAAGGGACTGTGACTGCCCAAAGGGATGTTGCTCTCTGATTAAACGACAGCGTGGCTGTCACATTAAGGAAGGTCTGCTCACCTACACTGCAGGCCCAAAGTGTGCAGATGTCTGTACCGGGCCGGTGAAGAGACCACAAGGGTTAATAGGATCAGAGGTCACGAGAGGTGCATGGGGTCACCTCCTTCACCTGCACTACACAAGCAGGGAGATGAACAGCTGTCACCAAAGGGACCGGGGTGTGTGGGTCCAGAGCCTGCAGGTCTCAGAAGTTGTTATCAATGTTCCAGACGTCACCGCTAAGAGCGTTGGCCGCGCCCTGCAGCGTCCAGGTGAGTAGGGCCAGCTGGCGCCGGAAGCGGCTTTCCTGGAAGCTCAGGCCAGGTACCAGCCCAGAGGAGGAAGCTTTGGAAGCTCTGGAGCCATCATTGGGGCGCAGCAGCCGTAGATGATCCAGCAGGCCGTCCAGTGTGTGGTCTCCATGGCCCAGGAAGATGTGGCGGAATGGGGAGTCAGCTGGTGACACATACTGGGACAGAAAGTAGAACTCCACCTGCATGGGGCCGGGGTAGGGGGTGGGGTGTAGAGGTTAGTGGGGGCTTCCTGGGGTGAAGCCTACAACCACCCTTACAAGCTGCAGCTCCTGACCTGAGGACCTAGGACCTGCTTTATAAAGCTGGTTCAGCAGCTTCCTTCAAGGTCACTTCTCTGTCCACTCAGGAATTGGCATCCAGTGACATAACCAGTAGCTGGGCAGGATGACTCCTGCAGCTGTGGGGGTTTCTTTCTATGGCTGGAGCCCCTGGAGCCTGCGTCTTGCCTCTGCAGACTTCCTTCCTTTCTAGCCCACTCACTTCCCTGCCCAAGGCCTCAAAGAACAATCTGTTGTCCTGCTGTTTGTCTTAATACCACATCTCCCCACACCCCAGTCCCCCCTCTGCCAATGTCTACAGCACAGAGTCAAAGGTCAAGAGGACAACACAGTCCTACTGATGAACCTGTCACCCTCTGTCCCAGGTGCTGTTCCCGCTTTCAACTCGGGACCTTGTGCTTTTGAGGCAGGCAGCAGAACCACTGAGCTAAATCCCCGGCCCTATTCCCTCTTCCTGAGATGGCCTCTTTCCTGGCCACTGTCCCACCCTCCTGTTTCCACCTTGGGTCAGGCCTCAAAATGACCTCCTTCATCCTTCTACCTTCAGCCCTGGGGTTCTCAACCCTGGCTACACATTAGAATCAACCAGGGAAGGATTTTTTGTTTGTTTTGTTTTTCAGGCACTGGGGATTGAACCCAGGGCGTTCGCACTGAGCTGCACCCCCAGCCATTTTTCATTTTGTATTTTGAGACAAGCTTGAACTTGTAATCTTCCTGCCTCAGCCTCCCGAAGTGCTGAGATTATACACATGTGCCACCATGCCTAGCTCAGGGAAGAGTTTCAAATCCTCGCCTGGGCGCCAGCCTAGTGACATCGCAATCTCTACAAGGCAGCCTTAACATGTTTCCTCACAAAGCTCATACAAGTATGTGCCCCAACTGTCACCAGGACTTCTGTGGGCACAACTGCCAAATCACCCAGTGGAATCCTGCCTTACTGGATCAGGGAGTACCTGGACGTAGGCTCACATAAATGGTGGTGCCAACCTTTCCCAAAACTTCTGCCTAGGAGGGCCGGGGATTTAGCTCAGTGGTTCCACTGCCTGACTTGAAAGCACAAGGTCTCAAGTTTGATCCCCGGTACCAAAAAAAACAACAACTTCTGCCTAGGAGCTAGAGGTGTGACTCAGTAGAAGAGTGCCTGCCTAGCATGCATAATAGCTGGGGTTTCATCCCCATATCCCCAGCATGGGGAGGGGCCACAAACCCTGAGACTTCCACCCACATTTCCTCAAAGCACCACAGGTGTTCTTGGAGGCTGGTCTCACAGATGAGTAAGAATAGGTGAACACAGGCTATGGGTGACCAGATGGCCTGATCTCTAATTCCGGCTCTGCCACACCACCACCTGCAGCTTGCCCACTTGACTTGGGTAAGTTACTTGGCCTCTTTGAGCCTTGGTATCTGAATACAATACTAGCAGCATACATGGTCGTACACACTTGTAATCTCAGCACTCAGGAAAGCTGACAAGAGGATTGCAGTGGGTTCAAGGCCAGCCTGAACTACATAGAGAGACCATCTCAAAAAAAACTAGCAACACACAATGCTAGCAACCTCATAGGCTTGGGGGAGGGTGTCCTATGAGACAAAATGGAGTGAGGTGTGTAGCACATGGGAGCTTTTTATAAATGGCAGCTGCTAGTTTATTATTCTCCTCTTTCCTTGATACCCTGTCTGTCCATTTTTCTTTCCAAATGGTTCACATCAGTCCAGTCCCCACCAACAGGCATTTGCTGCCACCTGCCAACCTCATGCAGGGCTCAGCTTTCATTAATTTCAGACCACTTACATGCTGGCCCAAAACCTTCCCATTCATGCACAATACCTTCTTCATTGACATATCCTGGTTGCTCAGACCCTCAAAATCCAAACTTTTTATCCTGGCATGTAAGGCTCCCCACAGCTGACCTCTACCCCACTATTTGGTGCTCCTCTCCCCTCTGCCTCTGCACAGGGCCTCTTTCTGGCTCTACTGGCCCACACCCTGCTTTCAAGGAAAGCCAGGCCTATTTCACTTAAACCACATCCTTATTCTTGTCTTTCCAGGCTCCAGTGTCTTCTTAGCACCAACCCAAGTTCTGCCTCTTCAAGACCCAAGTCACACAGTCTAAAGCAGAGGTCAGCAAACTTTGCAAAAAGTCAAGGAGTAAATATTTTAGGCTTTTCGGGCCATGCTGTTTCTATTGCAACTATTCAGTGTGGCTGCTTTAGCACAGAAGCAGCCATGGGCAACATGGAAACCTATGAGCATGGCTCATACTGCAATAAAACTTTATTGACAAAAACAGGCAGCAGGCTGAATTTGGTATGCTGACTGTAGTTTACCAACCCCTGGACCACAGCCAGAGTTCCTTGGGTCTGAAGTCCTGAGTCTTGCTGCATCCACCCCTGAACTGGAGTTGTGAACCTTTACACACAGAGGCCCTTTACTCCTCAGTGGGGAGCAACTTTCAGAGCAGGCTGTTTCTGGAGTTTGACACAGCAGGAAATAAACCAAGACCTATGAATGTGAATGAGCCATGCCCAATCTCTTTTCTCACCCCAGGGTCATGTGTGTCTCAGTGGTGGATACAAAAAGAAAGGCAGAAGGAGAGGAGGAAGAAGAGGAAACAGAGAAGGAAAGGAGCATAAGAGACACCAGGAGACAGAAGCAAGGAAGGAAGAGCTGGAGAGACAAGTCTGAAAGCAGAAAGAAGGAATGAGTGATGCCAAGGGAGATGGGCAGTGGCACATGCAGGAAAAAACTGGGGGAGAAAGAAGAGTAACTCCTCAGGGGTGACATGTTCCCTCCAAACCACGCAGTTGTGTACACGTGTGGCCCCACCAGCACACTATGAGTCCCCCTGTTCAGCAGGGATGGTTCTGCTTCTAATTTTACCCTGTGACCCTGTCCCCCGCCACACAGTCCCGACTGACCCATTTTCTAAAATCAAACGGTTTAGGGCAGTGATGGCGAACCTTTTAGAGCTTTCAGTGATACAAACAGCCCCCTGTGGCTGTGGCACATGTGCCATGGGTTCGCCACCACTGATTTAGGGGTTGAGTTCTTAGGGTGAGGAGATGGGAGGATGAGGAACTAGACAGGGAATGTGATCTGCCAAACACTCCAAACTCATCAGGAAGGACTGGCGAGTGAATATGCACTTAACTTTCACGTGACACCTCTTCCAGGCAGCCTATCTGGATTCAACCCCACCTTGTCACAGGAAGGAATCCAATCCAGTTCTCCACGCTCTGAATTTCCTTAGTCTTTTGCACCTCCCAGGCTGGAACCCTGTAGCTATTGTACTGTGGACAATGGGAGACGTGCCCTATCTCTCTGGAGGGGTGTGGGAGCGGGGTATAGGCGGAAGCCCTGCTGGCCGAGCCACAAGCCACGGTAGCCAAAGGGCTGGCCCTCCATGTCTGTGGCATCACTCCACGGGGCCTGCCTCAATGCCCAGTCAGGTCCTCTAGCCTGGCTGGTCTGTGAGCACGGCGGATCCAGGACAGGGCACGCCCAGAAGACAGGAACCAAGCAGTCAACCAGCCGAGTGCAGGTAGAACAAGCGGGCGCCGCAGCAAAACACGCAGCGGGAGGGGGAACTGGAAGGGGCGGGGCCTTACTCGCATGATCCGCACGTTGTACATGCGCATCAGCCTCTCGTCGCTCTCCTCCGAGCTGTAGATCTCTTTCCGCAGCTTCTCTGCCGCCCGGATGTAGTCCCCACGTGCGGAGTACACCCACTGCAGTGTCAGCCCGCGGGCCTGAGGGCAAGGCACAGGCTGGGGCCTAGGACGGGGTCAGGGTGCTGGGGGACAGAGCTGGGACCAGGAGGGAGGAAGTATGGGGGTGCTGGGGGCAGGATGATGGGACCAGAGAAGACTCTGGATGTGTAATGTTGGGGTTCATCCCAGGCTCTGTCCTCAGGCTGGGGTGATGGAGGCCGGAGTAACAGGGCCAGGCTCCTGGAGATCTATACCCTAGGAATGGGGTGAGAAGGAGGGGCGGACCCCCTGGCCTGGGCAGCACCCTAAGGGGAGGAGCACCCGCCACCCCAGAGGCCGGGAGCTGGGCTGCCATCTTGAACCTTGAGGTCCCCAGAGTACTCGTTGAGGTTTCCGATGTGCCGGAGGACCACGTCCCCGTAGCGGCCAAAGTCAAGGGGCAGCAGGTGGTCATGGCTGAGCCGGATGAGGAGCTGCCCCGTGAGCTGGGCCACGGCCTGCGCCACGGCGGGCAAGCGGCCTCGAAGCAGCCTGTGCAGGTTCTCATAGGTGTCCTCCTTCGTGTGCAGGAACGGGTACTCCTGATCGTCCTGCGGGGACACGGAGGGGGTGGGGGCGTGGTGCACAGGGCCAACGGATGGCCAAGGAGCCGGCCGGCCGGAAGTCTCACCTCCAGGAAGGAGAACTCCACCGCAGGGACCCCCGCAAAGGCCGTGAAGGAATAGGCACTGCTGTCCATGGGCAGAGGCCGGATCCTGGGGGCCGGGCCGGTGAGAGGGCTCTGTGGACTCAGGCTGCCCCACCCCTCTGCCCCCTTCTTACCCCAACTTACACCTCCGCTTCCCATCTGGGATTGGTGGACACCACCTGTTCATACAAAGTCTGCCCACTGTGGTTAGGGGAGTCCACCTGGGGGCGGGAGGGGACCTGGCTCAGACTCTGCCCCCACCAGCTTCCCCTCACTCCCTGTTCGGTCCCCTCTTGCCTGCTTCAGGATGTTCTCAATGAGGTTGATCAGAAGGGGGCTGGTTTTGGCGTGGAACTTGTCGTCCCCTGAAGAGAGGGAGGGAGGGAGGGATGCCAGGCTCAGGGCTTGGCACAGGGGCCAAAGTGGGCCTGAGGGGTCCAAGTGGGGACACTGCCCCAGCTCACCCAGCACTGCGTTGTCCAGGCTCACGTAGACCACAGCTTTGAGGTGTAGCAGGCTGAGGTAGCCCTGTGGGTGGGGGAAGTGTGGAGAGGGAACCTGCCTACCTCTCCCCACTGCCTGGCTGCCAGCCCAGGACCCTGACTCACCTCCAGCCACTCTGTGGAGCCCACACTGCCGAAGTCCCCTCCATCCCAGCTGATGAAGAGCAGACTTCTTCGGGGCCGGAAGCCTGGGGACAAAGCAGGAGTGAGGGAGGGAGCATGGGCTTTTCGGTGGGGGGGCACCAAAGGCCCCTTCATTTGTCTCCCTCTGTCCTGGTCCCTAGGGAGGTTTCTCCTTCCCTCTCATCAAGCCCCCATCCCAGCCCCCTGGGTTCTGCCCTGTCTCAGCTATAAGAGTGGTGGAGACGCCTGTGTGCATGGACTCTGCTTGTCACTCAGACCCAGGCGCGCAACTGGCACTTTCATCTCTCAAGGAGGAAAGCAATGCTTCAGAGGTGAAGTGACATGTGGCCAGGGCCACACACTAGCGTGTGGAGCCCAGGTTGTCTGCAATCCCAGCTGCCTCTGCCCCAGCTCTGCCCAGCCTAGGCTGTGGCCCTGACCTTACCATTGCTCACCATGGAGGAAAAGGTCTGCACCAGCTCCAGCAGAATGGCAGTCCCCACTGAGGACTTGGCTGCCCCCGGGCCCCACGCGTCCCTCTGGGCCCCGATGACAACATAGTGATCTGGGGAGGACATGTTTGGGGCGCATTTGCACCTCCAGGTTGTGTGTGGGGGTATTCCCGGGGTATTCCCAGGGCCTTCCCCTTGGTGATTCACTGGATGGGCACTTAGTGGCATTGCCCTCCTCCCCAAGTACTCCCGACCTGCTCTCCAGCTTGAAACCTACTTGGATGCCCACCACCATCCACATCTAGTTAAGCCTGATAGAGTCCTGTATCTGACCTCTCATTTATGCTTGAATTGATTGTAACAGCATCCAACTTAGGCTTGCTCACTTCCAGTGCTGGGGAACTCTACTGTGCAACTGTCCCAGACAGGCTGTAACATAAGGGCTGCCACCTCCATCAGCCCCAGCCTCCCTCCCCTGGTCACCACCCTTGTCCTGTCCCTAGGGCCTCCTGCACCAGCCCCATGTGGCTCAGGTCCTTAGCAGAGGCTCTGCTCCCACAAGCCATGGGTGATAGAGGCATACCTGGCTCTGCAAAGCCCTCGATGCACCCAAAGATATTGCTAATGGGGGTGGAGGTTCTCTGGTTGTTGACTGCAAGGTGCAAGCCTGGCCCAGGGCCCAGGCGATAAAGGGACGTTGAGAGGTGTCCCTGCCATTCTTGGGGGGCCACCGGGCCTTTGAGAGTTCTGTAAAGGAGTAGAACAGAAAGCTTTGAAAGTGGCAGAGAGGCTCAGGCTACAGAAGCGCCTCAAGCTTCCCTTTCACTCTTTCCCTCCCTCCTACACTCGGGGTCCAGGCCTTGCACCCTGCCAAGGTGGGTAGTACAGCCAGGGCTGCCCTGGACAGTTGTACAGGATGTGCCCTGCTCAAGAGTGTCCAGCAGAGCTAGGTGTGAAACCTAGCTAGAGGTTCATTCACTAAATGATGGGCCCAAGCAAGTGGTGTGTCCTCCCAGAAGCATCACCTTTTTCTAGTTCACCCAGAGGCACTGATAGCCTGCTGCGGCACCCCCACTACACCTCCCCATTCCCCACAGTCCTCACCTCAGCAGATGGGACGCAATGTCTGAGCTGATGGGCTGGGCAGGAATGCTGGGGAGGCCCGAGGATGCCACTGGGGGGAACTGGGTTTGATTGAAGGAAGGGAAGCCAGGCGTGTAGGGGTCTCCAGTTCCCAGGTGTACCTGTGGGGAAAGCGGCAGCCACCCTGCAACTGTGGCCAGGGTCAGTCCCATTCCAAGGTCATTGGCCATGAAGCTCAGGGCCGCACTGGTGGCTCCCCAGACTCACGTGTCCGAACACAGCCTGCTGGCTGGACAGGCCTGGGTTGTGAGGGTCCTGGGAAAAGTCTGCTGGGTCAGGGTACAGGAGCACCCCGAGGGCCCCAGCATGCTGCGCAGTGGCCACCTGGGGAGGCCAGGAAAGCCAGGAAAAGTGAAATGGCCCTTGGCACTTTCCTTCTGCAATTGTCTGTCCTTTTTTTCTGTTTTCAGTACCGGCAATTGAACCTGGGGAACACTAAGCTATCCCCAGACCTTTTCTTATTTGTTTTTGGTACTGGGGATTGAACCCAGGGTCTTCGCAGTGAGCTACATCCCCAGGCCTTTTGGATCTTGAGACAGAGTCTTGCTCAATCAGTAAGTTGCTCAGGTTGGGCTAAAACTTACTATTCTCCTGCCTTAGCCTCCCAGACTGTTGGGATTACAGGCATGAGCCACAGTGCCCAGCAAGTGTCCGTCCTTAATGAGTAGCTGTGGGCATCCCCAGGCGTTGTCTGACCACTCTATACCCTGGACGATGCCTCTGCAGCCCAACACCCCTCAGGCATCCTCCCCACCAGCTTGTCTATTCTGTACCCCATCTGATGTCCCGGAACATCCGGAATGTTGGTTCTCTACCAACATTTTCTTATAACCCGCTGGATCTTTCCTTTCTCCCTCTAACAAAGCATCCTAGGCGCTTCCCATCCTTAGGTCGGCCCTGAGGTCCCCGCAGCCCCCCACCCCATAAGGTGCTCCTTCCCCAACGCCTCACCTTCTGTGCAAAACTGGTCCCCCCCACGCGCACCAGCAGGAGGCAGCCGGCTGGCTCTACGCCCAAGGCCCTCAGGTCCTGCAGGTCCTCGGGCCGCCCGTAGTGGGCGTACACCAGCTTTCCCTGGGGACGCGGGGAACCGTGAGGCGCTCTGCCCACTCCCTCCGCCGCGACTCGGGCAAGGGCCAGAGGCGCTCACCGTGACGTTGCCGGTGGCGCTGTAGGGACAGTAGGCGTTGGGGTCCTCCAGCGGCAGCTGCTCCCCGACCGTCCCGTCCTCGTCCACCCAGTGCAAGGCATTGGGGTGAGCCCTGAGGAGCGGGGGAGGAGGGCTGGTGAGCGACCCCGCCCCCCCCGTGCCCCCCCCCCGGACCCCGGGCACTCACGGGTCGGGGAACTGCAGCCCCACATAGTGCGTGTCGGTCCACACATGGTCCAGCTTCTGGCGGGACATCAACGCGAGTATGTCCTGGGCCAGGGCGGCCATCCCGGCCGAGCCAGCCATACGCTCCCGAAGGCTGATTTGCCTGCGTGGAGAGGTGGAATTGGGGTCCAGGAGAGGAGCTGGAACCAACAGGCGCCCGCAGCGGTGGGTAGGATGCCTGAGTCGCCCCAGTTTGGGAGACTCGAGAGACCTAAATGGGGGAAGTTTCTCTCCTGTCAGCACCAGCTCTGTGGCCGAGGGGTTCCTTGGGCCTCCTGCATACAATCTTAGCTCCTCAGAGCCAGGGTCCTGCTTACTACCCCTTCTGTTCTTCCTGGCTCAGGCCAAACCCTGCAGTCCACCTGCTGCCCCTACACAGGCAGGAGCACGCGTGCACGCTCATATACACTGGAGCATGTGTGCGTGCCAGGCAAGGAAATGCTCTTCTAAGTGCCAACTGTGCTGGACATGGTGGTGCACACCTGTGCACCTGCCTGCACTCTGGAAGGCTGAAGCAGGAGGATCCCGAGTTGGACCCCAACCCGAACAACTTAGTGACTTAGACACCCTGTCTCAAAATAAGAGGGCCAGGGATTTAGCTCAGTGGTTCAGCCGCCTGCCTCAGAAGAGCAGGGTCCTGAGTTCGATCCCTGGTACCAAAAAAAAAGAAGAGGTGGGAGTGTGGCTTGGTGTGAAAGCCCTGGGTTCAATCTCCAGTATGGGGGGGGCAACTGGGCTGGAGCAGCAGACCCTCTGTCACACAAGGTCCTCCACCTCAGCTTCCCCGAACGCTTCACATGGAGGCTCCCAGTGGAAACATTGGGGCATTCGTCCCATTGGAGACTTCACCCTGTCTCCTTTCCTAGTCACTGCCTGATGCTCAGGTTGTCTCCCAAACTCTTGCTGCTCTTCCGTCTCATCTCCGCTCCCAAGTGGCCTACTTGTCATCTGGGTCGCTTACCTGTCACCTGGCCCCACCTGTACCTGTCCTGTGGCACACAAGCTCTCCCCCCGTTCATCATCTGCAGCTGCCTTCAGAGTCCTGGCTCTCCCCCGAGAGCCCCAGTCACCTGTGGGACTTGGGAGTGGGAGGCTCAGGTCCCCTCTGGGGTTTGGAGGTGCTCCTGGGTCGACCTTTCAGAGTTTTGACCAGTTCCCCTGGGGTAAAACTCTCCCTCTGAAGCCCACACCATCCCCCTTTCCTACCATTAGGCGATGATTGGCTGGAATCTAACCAATCAGCTGCTTGAACACTTTCATTGAGGACTTTAGCATCTGGTTTATCTTTTCCCTCTTCATATGTAGTCAGTCCATAGTGCTTCTCTACTGCTTCAGAATCCATTTGGATGAGGCTCCTTAGTCTCAGCCACCATCCTCAGCTCTGATTAGGACTGCAATCTGCAGTCCACAGAGTTGGTGCTATGTTTGACCCCCTGACCCAAGTCCCCATCCAATCTTTTTTTTCTTTTTTTCTTTTGGTACTGGGGATTGAACTCGGGTCCTTGTGCTTGAGCAGCAGGTGGCAAAACCACTGAGCTAAATCCCCGGGCCCCCCATCCAATCTTAAGTGCTTGTCTGAAATAGTGCATAAAACCTGAGGATGCAGAGTTCTCACGCAGCAGCAAGGAAGGATCACCTAGAGGTACACACTGCAGTATAGACAGACCTTTAATACACTGAAATGAGTTTTAAAATCTAGATTTAAAACACACTGAAGATAGTTATATCTGTAATCCCAGAATTCTGGGAGGGTGAGGCAGGTGGATCAAAAGTTCAAGCCTAACCTGGGAAACTCAGTGAGAACCTGTCTTGAAATAAAAAGTTTAAAAAAAGGTCTGAGGTTGTAGTTCAATGTGAAGGCCCCAGGTTCAATCCCCAGTACCACTACCAACAACAACAAAACCTGTACCTGAATAGTGGGTTTGGAATGACTTTAAAAAAAAAAACCATATTATTCCATATTTCTTAAATTTAAAAATAATGAACTCATAGAATTTTTCACAAATGTGCATGTGTGTGTGTACTTGATAGAGACTAAACCCAGGGCCTTGCACACAGTAAACATATACTCTAGCACTAAGTTGCATCCCCAGCCCAGTATTACTATTTTTATTTTGTTTTTTTGGCACTGGGGATCAAATTCAGGTCCTTGCACTTGAACAGCAAATGGAGAAACCACTGAGCTAAATCCCTGGCCTGCATTGCTGTTTTTAAAAACCTACATATACTGGGCCAGGGATTTAGTTCAGTGGTTTCGCCACCTGCTGTGCAAGCGCAAGGACCTGAGTTCGACTCCTGGTACCCCCCCCCCCAAAAGTGCTCAGAAAAGGCAAGGTAAAAAGGGACCTTGGATCCTTAGATGGGAATGGTGGTGCATGCCTGTAATACCAGCACTCTGGGGGGCTGAGGCAGGAGGATTGAGAATTTGAGTCCAGCTTGGGGAATTTAGTGACTTAGTGAAATCCTTTAAAAAAATAAAAGCTGGTAAAAATTTTTTTTAAACCTTTTAAAAATAAAAACTGGGGATATAGCTCACTACAAAGGTCCTGGATTTAAAATACCCAGTACTAGGCCAGGGATGTAGCTCAGTGGCACCACAAGTGCCTGCCAAGCCCAAGGTCCTGAGTTTGATTTCTGGTACTGGGGGAAAAAAATACTCAGTACTGCTAAATAAATAAAATTTAAAATAATAAAACAAGCCAGGTGTGGTTACAGGTGATTACACCTGTAATCCTAGCACTTGGGAGGCTGAAGTAGAAGGATAGGAGTTTGAGGCCAGCTTGGAATACATAGTGAGATTCTGTCTCAGAAAGAAAGAGAGAGAGAGAGAGAAAGAGAGGAAGAGAGAAAGAGAAAGAAAGAAAGATAAGAGGAGGCCTGGGGATGTAGCTCAGTGTAAATTGTCGGGAGCAATGCTACATAATTTTAGGGAAAGATCATTTGGTTAGCCTAGTCCTCCTGCCTACAGCCCAGCTATGGAATCCCAAGACATAATTCCATTTTGGCCTCCGGTCACAACTGAGACCTCAGTGATCTGGTGATGCTGTGATTCTCCAGGACAAGAAACATCCTGGGAGGAACAACCATCTACTCAGTTCCTCATTGTTCTTGGACTGTTACCATCTTGTTTACGTAGATGTACTGAACTCTCTGCAAGTCATTTGTTACATCTGTTTCTCCTGATGTACTGAATAAAAGGTGTGGTAAGCTGGGGGCTTTCATCTTTGCCGCCCAGAGCAGCACTGATCAGACCCAAAGCTCAGCTTCTTCTCAGTCTCATTTTTCTACCTTTCCTGTAATTTGCCTTGTACTGCAGTGGCTCACAGGAGACTAGGACTTAACTGCAGAGGTTCTAGTAACGTCCCCTTTCCCTGTTCCCTACATAAATGTCCTGGGTTCAGTCCCCAGTACTGTAAATAAATAAGTGCCCGAGGGTGTACCCAGAGTCCATCCCCAGTATGAGAGGGGGGAAAAATGCCATCCAGAGTCTCCAGCAAAGTTCATAACCAGAGCCAAAGTATTATTAAATGATTCCTACTGGATGGGGATGTAGCTCAGCGGTGCTGAGCCTGCCTGGCAAGCACAAGGTCCTGAGTTCGATTCATGGTACCAAAAAAAAAAGTTTCCTATGAACTTCAGGAAGTAGGGCAAGGATATCTACTGTCAGCCTAAATACATCTCCTCACCAATGCACTAAGAAATGAAAAAGAGATAAAAGGTATGAGATTGGTAGGAGCCCGGTGTTGCGACGCACACACACCTGTAGTCTCAGCACTTGGGAGGCAGAGGCAGGAGGATTGCAAGTTTGAGCCCAGCCTGGGCAACTTAGCAAGATCCTATCTCAAAAAAGGGCTGGGGATATAGCTCAGTGTGAAAGCCACTGGCGTTCAATCTCCAGTACCACAAAATAAACACATGTAAATAAACAAATAAATGAATAAGGATTGGAAAAGAGAACATGTGTTTTCTACTATGCGCAGTTTATGTGACTGCTTAGAAACCCCGGAGACCCACAGAAACACTGTTCCTGGTCCAGACAGGGCAGTGGGTACAGTGACCAGGCCTGGGATGAAATGGCACAGGTCACCTACCTGTGCTGTGGGCCTGCTCATCCTTGACTGCCCGGCACCCCCTGGCAGGTGCAGAGTCCCCCAGGCTCCCGCTGCCACAGACCCTAGCCAGGCCTCTGGGTGCAGCAGTCGGGAGCTTCTGGGTTTGCTCCCGTCATGTTGATGCTGCACCCTTTGCTGTCACTCAGGCAGCTCCCTCGTAGCTCCTGGAGTCTCAGCTGGAGGCTGCCTCCCTTCCCGGGACCACTGCACAGGAGGCCAGTGAGGCAGGTGGAAGGATTTAGGAAGGGAGGCAGTCCGAGTGGGTGAGGAGCGGACAGCAAGGGCCTGGAAAGGGGCAGGCTGATCTTACCTGATGGTCTCCTCCAGGCGCTCCTCCCCCAGGAGCCGCAGGAACATGGCCTGGAGGTCACTCCAGTACAGTGTGCCTTGGTGAGAGTCCAGGCCCAGCTCAGAGTTGACGTCCTCACCTACCACCAACACGGAGTCCCCGCATGCCTGGCAGGACCCTCGGAAGGCCACGTAGCCCAGGAGGAAAGCTGGTGGGTGGCAAGATGAGGATTCTCCTCGTGCCTCCCTCTGGACCCCAGAAATCTTTCCCAGCCCGGGGCCCTTCCTTGGGAGAAAGGGGATGGCTCTCACCCCCAGTGAAGATCAGTAGAGCCGTCAAGACCAGGTAGGGGGCAGCCTTGCGTCCTGCCGCTGCCCAGGGTATGAGGTTTTGCAGCCCAGGTCTAGAGCCCAGGGGCTCGGGACCCTTCAGCTCCATGGGGCAAAAGCGGGCCGCCAGCTCCGCCCCCTCCTCCCCGTCTTCCTCTTCCTCCGCCAGGCGCCCCTGGTGGGGGCCTTCCACACGCCTGTAGATGCTCTGAGAGGGTCTCGGGGACAGCTGCTGCTGGGGGGCAGGGTAGGTGTGAAGCTGGAAGAAGAGGCCTGGGGGTGGGGGTGGCTTGGCAACAATGGTGCCAGGGACTTTGGGGTGCCACGTGAGGAGCAGGCAGGGAGAGGGGCCTGAGAAGGAAGCGAAAGGAAAGGAACCCGAGGGAGAAAGTGAAGAAAGGAGGGGCCCCAGGCCGGGAGGGGGGCCGAGGGTGCTGCGGGAAGGCTTACGGCGCCCCCAACCATCCTGCTCTTACCGCTGTCTGGAGCAGACCCCGAAGCCGCTCCATGCTCAGAGCCCCTGTTGAACCCTGCAGGATACCCCGCCCCGCAGTGAGAAACCGTTTGTGAGAGCCCCAGGGGCCCCTTATCAGCCCTGGCAGGCAGTCTGCTCCTCACTTCACACACACTGGGGTGGGAGCGCTGCTCTGGCCTCTGTCCACCCTTCCAGTCAGCTCCCCAGCACCCCAGAGGACCAGGGGCTGTGCCCTCCCCTGCCACTCCCGCTACAGCACACTCCTGCCCCTCTCCGCAAAACAATCAATTTTTTTTACCTTGGGTCAGACTTTGGCCTTTAGGTTCCCGGCAGGAGTGGGGGAGGGAGCTGAAAGGAAGGGGGCGGGGGGGATATGGGTACCTCCCTCCCCTCTCCTGCTTCCAGTCTTCCTAGTGTTCTTGGGGACCCCTTCCAAAGCCCCTAGCCCCTTGGAAGGTTCCCTGTGAAGATATCTGCCCCCTTCTCCTCTGGCTTGTGGACCCCATGGCCAGGCCTGGTGGCACATCTGCTGCTCCCCCTGCTCTGACTCCTGCCCCAGGGGTCCCGAGCTGCAGCCACTGCGGTGGTGTAACCCAGGCTTTGGTGTAACCCAGGCTTTGGTTTAGCCGCATGGGTGTCTGTCTCCTTGGAGTCTGGCCTCTGCTGGCTGCTGGAGAGGGAGGGACATGCGAGAGATAAACGTGGTCAGGAGGGACGGGTGAGGGCTCAGGACAGGGGTCCTGGGGTCAGGGATCTGCAGGTCAGGGTCCACCCTGCGTTGGGGAAGCCAGAAAGGGTCCCGGCCAAGGCGTGGGCAGAGTTGCATGACCTTGGACAAGTCATGGCTGTCCCTGAGCACCGCGCCTCTTGGTCACCAAAGGACTTGGCGACTCCTTGGGAGTCTGATGGAAGGCCAGGTAACCTCGCCCTAGAAACACACCAGAGGCACAAACCGCTACGTTTTTCCTACAATTTCAAGCAAGGGGTACAGGTTTCCAATCCTGGCAGTGGACCCTTAGGCAAATACTCCTGAATAAGAAGGCTCAGGATCCACGCCCCCTCACTGCGCCCGGAAACCTCAACTCCTACCTGGGTCTGGAGAGAAGATCTGAGCCTTTGGGGCTCACCAATGACCCAGTCCCCGCCCATACCTGTCTAAGCAGGAGCCAGGGAAGGGAGACACGGCGCTGCACGGCTCACCTGAGGGGGAAGTCCTGAGGTGCTGGTGGCTCTAAGGAGACCTAAACCCTCGCCGAGCCCCGCCCACTCAGGCCCCGCCTCCTGCCCTGCCTAAGCCACGCCCCATGTTCACCTCGCCCCTTCGCCAGTCCTCTGCGTCCCCCTCTCAGCTCATTACTGGGTCCTCCCCACTTGGCGTCTTTGGATCAAAGTCCCCCTGAAACCTGAGGAATCCGTGGCTCCTGGGGCTGTGCCCCAGGCCTGCCGTGGAATCGGGCATGAATGTAGGTGCAGCCCTTCCCTCGCCTTCCTCTAGGTCCCACGTGCCCCCCAGGAGACCAGACTTCGTTTTTCTTAAAACATTTTTACTTCTTTCAACTCAGAAACATCACAATCTAAGAGGACAAGAGGGGAAGAGCAGGGGTCGGTGTGAGGATGGGAGTTTGGGGGGCTTAGATCTGCGCTCTTGGAGTCCTGGTGGGGAAACAGCCCTCTCTGACCCGGGCTCCCCAGCGCTGCGCTGCGGGTGGGCGCCTGTGTGGGCGGGGCCGTCCTCAGGGGCACTTCCGCTCCACGCACTGCTTCCCGCCTTCTTCGTATTCCTGCTTGGAGATCCACATCTGCTGGAAAGTGCCCTGGGAAGGGAAGGGGCCATGTCTGAGGTCAGGATGGCCCTGCGGGCAGGGTCGAAGGTGGCCCTGTGGAAGCCCTCCCTCCTCCTGGCCTCACCCTCCCTCCTGCGCCTGCCGTCTCTCTCCACACTAAGAGGGTGAATACCTGCTTCCTACAGACCAAGGCCATTCATTCAACAAGCATTTATCGGGCACCTCTCTTCCCTGGGCTGGCGCTGTTCCTGACTGGATGGTGGCACTTATAGCCCAGGCCAGGCCGGCCAGCTATATCCCCCATGAACCCCAACACTCAACAGCACCCCCCCCCAACGCATACTTTCCTCTCCACCGGTCTTTTCTCCCTCCATCAAGGGACACACCCCCACACACAGCATGTGACACACCCAACTTCTGTCTTCGGACCCCGGCACCCCACTGCCACCGCCCCTACAGAAACCTGTCCCTTGAAGTGTCCAGCACTAGGGGCCTCACACTGTCACTTCTCTTGGGTGGCTGCTGTGCTCCTCCTGAGGGTTCCTGTCCGTTTCTCTCTTGGGCACACAGAGCAGCCTTCCTGGGCAGGCTCATTCACCCCACCCTTCCTAGCCTCTTGTTCCAGACCCAAACACCCAGCTATCTCTAGGAACTGGGCCCCCATCCCTCTGGACCTCAAACTCAACATGTCTTGAGTTCACATCTTCCCCAGGCTTCCCCAAGCCTGCCTCTTCTGTGATCTTTCTCACCCTCTAAGCCTAGGCTGCCCAACTCAGTGGCCACTGGCCTCATGTGGCCATTGAGTACTTGAAATGTGGACAGTCCACATGGAGATGTGCTCTATGTGGAAAACATGCTGGGTTTTGATGACTAAGTATAGAAAAAGAATGTAAAATATCTCACTCAAAATTTTTCAGCCAGTGGTGATGCACGCCTATAATCTCAACACTCAGGGGGCTGAGGCAGGAGGATCAAGGAGAGTTTGAGGCCAGCCTGGGATACATAGTTCAAGACCAGCCTGGACTACAAAGCAAGACTCTGTCTCGATAACAAAAAACCCACAAAAAAAAAAACTAAAAAGAATTTTTTACACAGATCACATTGAAATAGTATTTTGTTTTGTTTGGCTTGGTTTGGTACCGGGGATCAAACTCGGGTCCTTGCGCTTGTGCAGCAGGTGGCAAAACCAGAGTTAAATCCCTGGCCTGAAATAGTAATATTTGGGATATATTGGATTAAATAAATTATATTCTGGGCTGAATATTTAGCTCAGTGGTGCCACTGCCTGCCTCACAAGTGCGAGGTCCTGAGTTCGATCTCCGGTTCGAAAACAAAACTAACAAATAAACAAACAAAAAAGTATATTCTGTTCTGGGTTTTTTTGGTACCAGGAGTCTAACTCAGGTCCTTTGTTTTTGTTTTTTGAGACAGGGTCTTGCTGTGTAGTCCAGGCTTGTCTTCTTTGGCGGGGGGTGGGGTGGGGGTTGGTTTTTTTGTTTTTGAGGTAGGGTCTCATTATGTGGTTTAGGCTGGCTTTGAACTCATTATGTGGCCCAGGCTAGCCTCAAGTTCATGGAGATCCTCTTGCCTCAGCCTCCTGAGGCTAGGACCACAGGCGTGTGCTACCTTGCCTGCCTCCAGGCTTGTCTTCAATTTACTAAATACCCCAGGCTGGCCTCAAACCTGTAATCTTCCTACCTCAGCCTCCCAGGTGCTGAGGTTACAGGTATGCCCCACCAAACCTAGTTATAAAGTGTTCTATTTTTAGTTGTTTGTTTTTTTGAGATAAGCTCTTGCTATGTAGTTCAAGCTGGTCTTAAACTCCTTCTGTAACCCAAGCTGGCTTTAAACTAGTGGTGATCCTCCTGCCTCAGCCTTCCAAATGCTGGGATGACAGGTGTGTGCCACCCTAGCCGGCTAATGTATGTTCTTAACAATTTAGTTCACCCGTTTCTTTGTACTCTCTTTAAATATGGCTACAAGGAAATTTAAAATTAAGTGTGGGACTTGCATTGCCTTCCTGTTAGACAGCTGATTTCTGCTAGCGCTGCCCTCATCCTCTTGCATGCCAACAGTCTTGACCTCCTGCCCATGAGCCTCTGGGTAAGCCTAATGCCACTGGCCGATAGCCACACCCCTGCTACATCCAGGGGCCCTGTCCCTGCCTTCTGTCTGCCCCCTTCTCTTCCCTCACCAGCCTGCAGCCCACGTGGGTCCCTAAAACCCAGATCTGACTGCATCAGTCTTTGGGCCTTGTCTTATTCTCCCCACAGCCTGAGTACCCTTTTTCTCTTTGCCCCAAGTCCTTCCTCTTCCTGTATCAGTTTTTTTGTTTGTTTGTTTTCGTTTTGTGAGACAGAGTCTCATTATGTAATTCAGGCTGGTTTTGAAACTTGAACTCACTGTGTAGCCCAAACTGGCCAACTTGTGGTGATCCTCCTGCCTCAGCCTCCTGAGTGCTAGGATTACAGGTGTCCACCACTATGCCTGCTCCCTTGTCAGTTTCTTATTTATTTGTTTTGGTACCAGGGATTGAACTCAGGACCTTGTGCTTTCGAGGCAGGCGCAGTGCCACTGAGCTAAATTCCCGGCCTCCCATGTCAGTTTTGATGCCTCATAAGGCCCTCAAAATGAACTAGGCGTGGTGGTGCACACCTGTAAACTCAGCAATCTGGGAGGGTGAGACAGGAGGATTTCATGTTCCCGTCCAATGTGGGCAATTTAGTGAGATGTGTCTTAAAATAGAAAATAAAAAGGACAAGGGATGTAGCTCTGTGTGAAGGCCTTGGGTTTAATCTCCCAAACCTAAAACAAAAACAAAAAACCGCCCAAGATGCATCAGATGCTCCCTGAACACTTTCTGGGGACTTTCTGTTCACTTGTCTCAGCTTTTGACTGTCATAAAGGCAGGGACTGCGTCAGGCTCTGCTCATTCCAACCACAGAGAAAGCCCTTAATGACTGTGTGGCTAACATGATCCAGCCTAGAGCTAAGTTTGTACTGTTAGCCTCTGTGTTTTTACCCTCCTTCCTGTCTCCTTGGGACGTGCTTGCAGTGGATGTCCCTGTCCTGACATGGTCCTGCTGTCTCCTCTGTGTGGGACTAGTGTGTACCTCCAGGCCCCTGCTCAACATCTGCCCTCTACTCCAGCAGCTGGTCCAGACTGAACTCACCGCCTCCTGGCCCAGAACCAACCCACCTGCCTCCTCTTTCAGGTTCCCGTCCCTCTTCACGCACCCACTGCTACCCACTCAGCGACTCCGGGACAATGGAGAGAGTCTCCCTGCATGGGCCCCTTGGTCCCAGCCCCACTCGGATCCCAAACATGCCGACCCGAATTGCAGCGCTCCCTGGGCCCCACCTCCAGGGGTCCCCTCTGCTCCGTGGGGCCAGGGGATATCTCATCATCACAAGCTCTGCACAACCAATCTCTCCAGCTTCCTCTCCCTCTGCTCCCTGATCTGTGTCCTGATAGCATTCCAGCTTCTGAGATCAATCACAGACTGCTCTATCTCAGAAATAAATGTTTGCTAAATGAATGGATGGGTGGCCAAGGCGGTGGGGCTGTCTGAGTCCCCTTCCCCACATTCCCACTGGATCACGCCCCTTCCCTCTCACCAGTGAGGCCAAGATGGAGCCCCCAATCCAGGGGCTGAACTTGCGCTCCATGGTGCTGTTGCTGGCAATAAGCTTCAGCCGCATGCTCTGCGGGGAGAAAGTTGCTGGGGGAAGCAGACATGTTGGTTCTGGAAGGGACAGGGCTCAGGAGGTGGGAGGAAGCCACAGGGGTGGAGGTCTGAGCACTACATGCTTGGTCCTGAAGGCCTGAGCCCTGGGCCCTGGGCAAGGGGTGGGCTCCTACCGGTGGGGTCTTCTGGGATAGCTCTCGATTGAGCCTGTCCGTGAAGCCCTGCAGCAGTGTGTTCCCACCGGTGACAATGACACTACCATACAGGCCCTGAGAGCAGGGAAGAGGAGTAAGCCTGCAGGGCACCACCCTCCCTGCCTCCCCAGTCTTCCTGGGCCCCTTCAGCCCAAGCCTCACAGGGCGAATGTCGATGTCACACATGCCGATGCTGGTGGTCACCACGTGGCCCACGCCCAACATGGTATTTCCTGACAGGCCCTGTGGACAAAGGCGACCTGGGCTTTGGGGCCTCTGGCCCCTCTCCCCAGACCCTTGCAATCCTGCCCAGCCTCTCCCACACCCCAGGATCCAGGGGTCTAGCCATTCACACCCCAATACCAGGCAACCAGACCTTGACGTTGGAGGGATCGAATAGGCCCTCAGGGATACGGAGTCGCTCGGCTCCATAGTCTGTGTTGTAGCCATTGGGCATCTCGTAGTGCACTGTGGGCATCTGCGCGGCCACCCTGCCCAGGAAGCAGCAAGTCTCTGCCTGGAGTGCTCATGGAGGACCACCAGGTGGGCAGTGCCAAAGGTCCCCCGGAGCCCCAGTTCTGCTGCCCCCCTCCCCCAGCACTGGGGGCCCCACTCACTGCTCATCATAGGGGGAATCCGAGACCTGTAGCACCGAGGCCTGGAAGTCCTGGATCACCTCCTGAGAACCAGGGAGGAGTGAGGGCCTAGGTCCCTCTGGAGCACCCCACCTTGAATCCCTCTGCCCCCTCCAGGGACTCCACTCCTCCCCCAACTTGGCAAGGGACCAAGAGCTGGGGAGGGGAGCTGTTTCAGAGAACCTACTCCAGTGGCTCACATTGCACATGTAGTTATGCCAGGACTTGGAGACTTGGGGTAGCTTCTCCTTCTTCTTCCAGTTTGGGGGTGCACCCTCCCGTACCGGCTCCTGTGGAGGCAGGCCTCTGAGCATGCTTCCCAGCTGCAACTTCCCTGTGTGGCTGCACCTGCATCTAGCACTTGCTTGGGGTTGGGAGTGGGCTTTGCTCTGCTGCTTGGAAGAGGGGCTTCCCACCCTTCCCAGGACAACCCTGTCCTCATGTGCACTGAACTCACCAGGATACGGGTGATCAGAGAAAGCCAAGGACATGTAGGACAGGCCTTTTGCTGGGCCACATCTCTGGAGGGAATTGGGGTGACCTTCTGTGTGCAGTGTCACTCCCCACTGTTGCTCTACTTTACAGTAGAGGAAACTGAGGCTCTAGTATCACGCTCTGAGTCTCTCAGCTCTTAGTGGCAGAGGCAGAATTTGTGCTTGGGTCTATTGGGAGCCACTACTCAGGCCCTCACACATCCTTCTGCCAGCTGATGATTGCATGACCTCGGCCATGTCCGTCATCTTGTCTGGATCTCTGAGGCCTGGGTTGTAAAATGAGGAACTGGGCCCTTAATCTTCTGGGGGTCCTGCTGCTCTCTGCTCTGTTGACTCATGGGTCAGTGGGCTGACAGGTGTAGGGCAGGTCCTCAGGACTCTATGGTAGCGGCCCCGGGCTCCCCAGAGACCCCACCTTGGCTGCGATCATGTAAGGGGGGATGATGTCAATAGCCATTTCCTGGAAGAGCTCCCGGCACTGCATGGAGATGAAATCCCCTGCCAGGGGTGACTTGACAATGCCTGGAAGGGGCGGCAGTATCAGGGCCTGGACTTCTCTGGGCAGCCCTGACCCCTGCTGAGAGCCCCACCTTGCTGGAGGACGTAGCCATCGTGCACTGGAATGGCTGTGGTGTGGGTGGCCCCACTGTCCAGCACGAGGCCTGTGGAGCGTCCATTTGCAAAGCTGGCACAGGCTGGGTCAAAGAAAAAGCAGCAGCTAGGGAGGGGATTGGGACCTGGGCCTGGCCTGGTCCCTCTCTGTTCTCCCAAGATCCAGCACCCCCAACCCCCACCTGCAAGTCTCCTTTGGTTTATGATCCATCCTCTGGAGACAGAGACGGGCTCCTGGGACCTCAGCCACTTCTCCCCAGTCCCCACTGAACTCCCAGCCTGTCTTTATTCCTGGTTCTCTGTCCTATAGGGTCCTCATCATCTCAGTGCCTGGCATAGGGTTCAACACAAAGCACGTCCTGAAACAACACAATGCGTATGGCTATTTGGGAAGGAAGCACCTCAGTGTCAGACCCGCTCCCCCTCCAGCCCCGGCCCCTGCTGTGGGGCCCCAGCTCTTGCCCCAACTCTCTCTGCTTAGCCGGCAGGGAGCCAGGCACTCAAGCCTGGGCCTTCTGCACTGTGGGGGTAAGAGAGCCTCTATCTCAGCCCCCCACGCAGCCCCAACAGGGCTCCCACCCAGGCTGAGAGCTCGGGGCAAAGGATACGCCGTGAGGACGGCAGTCTTGCACAAGAAGAAGGCAGGGATGTTGTACTGTTCGAACATCAGCTCTGTCAGCTTTTCCCGTTTGGCCCGCGTGTTCCACTGCAGAGAGAATGCAGGGGTGCAGAGTTGGGGGCCTCTATGTGCACACATACACTCACGCTTACATTCACATACACACACACAAGAAAAAACACACATGCTCATGCATACGGCAGACCCTTGAGTTATGACCAGCTTGACATACAAACAACTTGGGTGACAGCCAAAATTTTAGTTTTAACTTATGACCAAAATACTGAGTTATGACCTGAATGCTGGCCACTTGTGCTTCCAGATGGTCTCAGGTACAGATTTAACCGTTAAAGAGTTCTAGAAGGAACATTACAACATCCTTTCCTGAGTGGGGTTAATTGAGAAATCCTTGGCCAATGTCTAAAGACACTGAGATCTGGCTGGAGGAAAGTGTGGCCTAAAATTATACAGGAGAGAGATTCTGAAGGCTGTGTAGAGGAGCCTGATCAACTTGAGTACAACCACCCCTTGAGAACGAATTGAGTTCATAAGTGAAGGATCCACTGTAGATACATACCAGTACATACAGACATAACTTTTACTGGAGGAAAAGGCGAGGCCTCTTATAGACCTTTACAATGGGGAAAATGTAAAAAATTTTAAAGATCACAGGCCAAACATAATTGAAGGAAATAAAATTCAGAGAGGGGTAGTGACTTGGCCCAGGTCACACAGAAAGCTCTTGACAGAACTATCTGGAGTCATAGTCTTCAATACCTGGCTTCATGCTCCTGGTTGTACAGTACACGCCCCAGGCTCCGACCAGACCCCTGTTTCTCCCTCTTTCCCTTTCTGCTCATCTCAGAAGCAAAAAGGCTGGGGAAGAGGATTTCTGGATAATAATGGTAGATTGAATACAAATACTTAATTGTATTGCCTCCTCCAAACCCCAGCAAAACTATAATAAATGGGCAATTTAAAAAGATATAGACCCACAAAAGCCAACAAAAACCTGAGAAGATGCACCGTGGGGGAAATGAAAATCAAACATTGTTAGTCATTAGGGAAATGCAACTCAACAGCATAATGAGGTATCACTTCATTCCCAATGGAGTGGTAATCATAACTGAAACACAAAAGAATAACTGTTGACAAGAATGTGGAGAAATCGAAATTCTCTTACATTGCTGGTGGGAAAGCAAAATGGTTCAACCACTGCAGAAAACAGTTACTGATTCCTCAAAAAAGTAAACATATTTCTGTAATCCCAGTGCTCTGGGAGGCTGAGGCAGGAAGACCACAAGTTTGAGCCCAGCCTGGGTAACTTAGCAATGTAGTGAACCCCAACACACACACACAGAGAACATACAAAAACTCACACATTTTATGATCTTAATTATATGAAAGATTCACAACAGATACATCCACAGAATCAGAAAGCAAATCAATGGTTGCCAAATGCTGGGAGTAGCAGGGAGTGGTGAAAAATTGCTCAACAGAAAATGGGTTTTCCTTTGGGGAGATGGAAATGTTTTGGGGAGATGGAAATGTTTTGAATAGATAGTCATCATGGTTACAAAACATTGTGAATGGCACTGAATTGTTAACTGGTTTTCTTTCTTTCTTTCTTTCTTTCTTTCTTTCTTTCTTTCTTTCTTTCTTTCTTTCCTTTCTTTCTTTTTTTTGTGTAATACTGGGGATTGAATCTAAAGCCTCATGCCTGCAGGCAAATGATGTACCATTGAGCTACACTCCAGCCTGAATTGTTAAATTTAAAAGATTAAAGTGGGAGTGGTGGGGCATGCCTGTGATCCCAACACTCTGGGAGACCTAGGCAGGAAGACTGCAAGTTTGAGCCCAGCCCGGGCAACTTGCCAATTTATTGAGACCTTGTTTTAAAAATTTTAAAAGGGCTGGGAATGTAGCTCAGTGAAAAAGGCCCTGACCCTCCCATCCCTCATCCCCTCCAAAAAGCTTGCTTAATTTATGAATTATATGGGGGTGGGGGAGTGAGGGTGGTGGTGGGGGAAGAGAGAGTCTCTCAGATTAGGAATAATAAGAAAAGAAAAGCAGCAACAATGTGTTGAAGGTTGGAAATCAAGAGAGGTGAGTGGTGTGGACATAGGTTCTGCAATGCTGACTCCTAAATCAGGAGTGGAAAAAGCCAGCAACAACCTGGGTTGCAATCGGTAGTTTCAGATACCTCTGGAGATGGAGGTGAAGGGAATCTGAAATAAGATCATTAGAAACAATTCAAGTACTAGATCACTACTCTTTTCCTAGCTCCAGGTCACAGGGCTATTGCCTACCGCAGCCCCTGAAGACTGGAAATTTATTCTCTGGAGAAAGTGACACTGAGTTTCCCTGAACTGGCAGGACACCTGACACAGTTGGGAGCGAGAGCTTTGTTGTTCAAAATAATCAAGTGATATCTTGTATACTGAATGCTGAGAACACTGCCCTGTTCCATCACTTAGCTTTAAGAGGAAGCTAGGTGGAAGTCTGTAGGGGTCACATAAAGAAACTGAAAGAGGGCTGGGGATGTAGCTCACTCGTGCCTGTTTTTGTTTTGTTTTGTTTTTTTGGTACCGGGGATCGAACTCGGCTCCTTGCGGTTGCAAGGCAAGCGACGGAACCACTGAGCTAAATCCCCAGCCCCTGTTTTTGTTTTTTTGAGACAGGGTTTTACAGTTGCTCAGGCTGGGCTTGAGCTAAAAATCTTTTTGCCTCAGCCTTCTGAGTAGCTGAAATCACAGGCATGTACCACCTCATCTGGATTCCTATGACTTGTTTGTCTGCCTGTCTGTTTGGAGACAAGGTCTCCCTATGTAGTTCAGGCTGGCCTTGAACTCACAGTGATCCTCCTGCCTCAGCCTCCCAAGTGCTGAGATACAGGCGTGTGCCACTACACCTGGCTCTATGACCTTTCTAAGGCAATTCTTGGAAAATCTGCTCCACAAAAACAAAGGAGTAAATCAAGAAAAGGAGTGAAGTACAGGAAAGAAACTTCCAACACAGGAGTGGTGGAGGACCAAACATGCCTTTCCTGATAGAGGAGAGGGGCAAGGATTCTCCAAGATGATGGTGAGGAAAGTGTCAGGGTGACAGGGGTGAAGTGTTACTAGTCCAAAGTGAAACAGGCTGAGAGCTTCTGGAGAGATTTCTTCAAGATGGAATTAATAGGACAACTAATCTAATTAATGCTTTGAGAAAATATAGAGATAAGGATGAATAACTTAGGGTCATATTATTAAGCAGGAAGAAAACTAAGCAAAACAAAAGCCAAGACAATTTTCAGTTCCAGGGAATACAAAAAGTTGCACAGAAAAGAAAAAGTAGCCATAGTTTACTGACCGGCTCAGCTTTGATTAGCATACATAGTAATAAAAAGATAGCATGCTGATCTTTTTAAAAGTCCAAAATGCAGGGGCGGGGATTTAGCTCAGTGGTTTCGGCTCCTGCTGCGCAAGCGCAAAGACCCGAGTTCGATCGCCGGTACCAAAAATAAAATAAAATAAAATAAAGTCCAAAATCCAACTGGTACTTAAAGGTGGGGAATGAGAAATGTGCGTGCTGTAGTCTGGTAGAGTTCATTCCTAGAGTAGGAAATTCACAGGTAATGCCTAAAATTTTAAAAAATCCACACAGGAATTTGTGATATTCAGATTTATGAAAGGAAAATATACAAAAACTGAGCTAAAAAGGAGAAAAGCTGCTGACTTTAGAAAAGAGAAATGGAAGAAAGAAGATAAGAACTGGGCTGGGGATTTAGCTCAGTGGTTCCGGGGCCAGCCTCCCAAGTGCACGGTCCCAAATTTAATCCCTAGTACCAAAAAAAAAAGAAGATAAGAACTATAAGATTTTATCTTAACATACTTTATAAAGCAAATTGATTCTTTATGTGAATATAAAAGATTAGCCAAAAAGTTTAAATTAAAAGATCAGAAAAGGGTGGGGAAGGGCTAGGGATTTAGCTCAGTGGTTCCACTGCCTGCCTGGCAAGCATAAAGTCCCAAATTCAATCCCAGGAACCAAAAAAAAAAAAAAAAAAAAAAAAAAAAAAAAATGGTGGGGAAGCCACGAATGCTGGCTCACATTGGAATCCCAGCACTCAGAGAGGCTGAGGCAGGAGGATTATAAGTTAGAGTCCAGCCTGGGCAACTTAGCAAGACTGTATCTCAAAATAAAAAATAAAAATGGGCTGGAGGTGTAGCTCAGTGCAAAAGCCTGGGAGTCAATCCCCAGTTTAAAAAAAAAAAAAAAAAGAGGCCGAATGGCATTGGAATAAATGGAGATGGAAGAGAGAAGGAGAGATGGAGACTAACTCAGGGAGGAAAGAAAGTGGTTGAAGGTGAAGGGTCGGAGGGAAAATCTGAAAAGGCAGGTGAAGTGACTGGCAGGTGGAAGGGATGTGTGGGGGCCCCGGGCAGGAGTGGTTGGGACAGGCACTCACCGGGGCCTCTGACATGAGCACCGGGTGCAGGTTCGGCTCAGACTTCACATGTCTGCTGTAGGTGTGGTCCAGGATGGCTCGGAAGCACTCCCAGTCCTCGACTGGGGGCAAAAGGCCAGTGTGGAGGGTGCAGGTGAGCAGGCAGAGATCAGAGACAGGAAGGAAGAGAGCCCAGGGGAGGGTGAACCCAGTTCCATCCGAAAAGCCCCTCACTCCCGGGAATGGGGTGGACCCCGGGCTGGGGACCTGGCAGCTGTGGGCAGCAGTGAGAAGGCTCCTGGAGCGTGGGCAGCTGCTAGGGAGCCTCAGTGTGAGGGGTGGGCTTTGGGACCATGTCAGGAGCGGGAGGGGGCTTACTCATGCCATTCTTGAGGGGTGACATGACCTCGGCTCCGTCCCGAGGCACGTGCAGAGCATTGGTGTCGATGTGGAAGATCTTCCCTTTCTTCTCTTTCTCCCCCTCCAGCTCCAGCCCGCCTCCCTCCTCCGCGGCCAGCAGCCCCACTGTGGTGGGGAAGTCTGCCTGGGGATGGAAAGGATGGACGGGGGCGGGATCACCTTGCTCCAGTCCTGTCCGTCCAGTCCCGCGCTGGGCCCTCTGCCTGCCCCTGGGTTCACTCCCACAGTTCCCCTGAGCAGAGCTTTGGTACTGGGTTGTGAGAACCCAGGGTCGTGGTAAGCCTGGCCGGGAGTCTAGCGCCCCTAGGATTTGGGTAAGGGTCTGGAAGGCTCACCTTGGGGCAGTCCTCCCCAGCGTACCCAGCGCGGACGGAGAAGGAGCCAATGTCAAAGACCAGCGCCCCCACTTCATCTGTGCAGGGAGAAGGCGGGTGAGGGGACTGCCCCCCAACTCTCCCCGGGCAGCTTCCAGGGGAGCTCGGGGCACAGCCACAGTCTCCACCTTCAACAGTGACAGGGCAGCTGGGCGCTCGGCCTGGAGTTCAGGATCCCGGGAGTGGGAGGTCGAGCCGCCAGAGTTCCCTCCTACCCGGTGGCCAGTCCAAGCCACAGTCCGGGCAGGCAGGAAGGGCCCCGGGGCCGGGCGGCGGTGGACTGAATGGTGGACATGCGGGGAGTCGGGGGAAGACCGAAGGCAGAGGAGACACGAGACCGAAATCGAGTGCGGAGGTGACAGGCCCCGGGGTGCCCAGCTTGGGTCGCGCGGGTTCAGGGCTCAGGGCCGCGGGCGAGGCCGCGGGAGCCGGGAGCGAGAAGACGGAGGCCGGCTCACCTCCGCCGTAGACGCCCCCGCTCATAGTGCCCTCTCGACTCTGCTCGTGGCCGTGGGCGGCGACGGGATCAGCACCGAGGCGGCCGGACAGCTCCCGGGATCCCGGGCGGGGCGGGGCGCGCGGCTGCCAATCAGAGGGCCGGTTCCCCTCCCCCAGCCACACCACCGATTGGCTGCCAGGCGAGACAATAACCCGGCCCGGGGCGCTGCTTTAAAGAGGCAGACTCCTCCACGTTGGGCGGCGGGGAGGGCGGACAGAGGCCTGAGACACTGGCCCTAGGGAATAGGTGGCTGAGAGAAGGCAAGAAAAGGACGGAGATTGTTCATCCGGAGGCCAGGACTCCGCAGGGTGACTGAAGGGCTCCCCCATCCGCTACCCGCCCCTCCAGTCCTGGAGATTGAACCTAGGGCCTTCCTACTGAGCTACACTCTCAGCTCCTTAATTAAAACAACAACAACAACAACAAATACATATATAATATGCTTTCACACCATCAGTAAGTCAAATTGTAAGCCCACCCACGTAAGTCAGGGACTGTATTTTCAGTAGCTATGTATTCACTTAATAAACTTTTTTTTTAAGTACATATATATTATTTTGAAGTAAGGTCTCACAAAGTCACTAATTTTCCTAAGCTGGGCTCAAATTTGTGATTCTCCTGTCTCAGGCTCCCAGAGTGCTGGGATTACAGGCTTCCACCAACATGCCCAGCTGCTTTAGTTTTTAAAATGGGGTCATCGTTAGGCTCCTGATCCAGGTTCTACCACTCAGGAAATCACTAGGACAGAGATGGGGAAAAAGGAAGAAGGAGGGCTTGGAGGGGATGTGTCTCTATCTCTCCCTGACCCTTCTACCTTGGTCCTTCTGATGGGCCTCTTTTCCTGGACCACCCCCAGTGCCTCGGCCTTACACATACACATGTGTACACAATCCGCACACACCACACACAGCCACTCAACTAACCAGTTTTGGTCTTTTGTGTCATCACTCTACTCAGATACCTCTCTTCTTCAAAAAGCCCAGTGTGTGGCACATGCTTGTAACCTCAGCACTCTGGAAGACTGCGGCAGGAAGATCACAAGTTAGAGTCCAGCCTGGGCAACTTAGCAAGACCTTGTCTCAAAGTAAAAGTTGAACAAGGGCTGGGGATGTACCTCAGTGCAATCCTGGGTCCAATTCCCAGGACATTAAAAAAGGCATTGTTCAAGAAGTGAGTTTCCTAGTAGTCTTCTAGGTCCCTCTGGGCTCCTAGCATCACCAGCATGGTGGTTTCTTGTTTTTGCTTTTGTTTTGTTCTGAGGTACTGAGGGTTGAGCCCAGGGTCTTGTAGTGCATGCTACACGAGTTACACTCCCAGCCCTTTCTGAAAAAATTTTATTTGCATTTATTTTATTTTTTGGAGACAGGGTCTTGCTATGTAGTTCAGGGTGGCCTTGAACTCACTGTGTAACCCAAGCTGGCCTCAAATTTGCAGTGATCCTCCCACCTCAGCCTCCTAAGTGCTGGGCTTAGAGGTGTGTGGCACCATGCCCAGCCAAAATTTTTATTTTTGTTTTTGATTTTTTTGGTATTAAGGATCAAACTCAGGATCTTGCTCTTTCCAGGCAAGTGTGGTGCAAAATTTGTAATTTTGAGACAGGGTCTCGCTAAGCCAACAAGTTGCACAGAATGGCCTAGAACTTCCAGTCCTCCTGCCTCAGCCTCCCAGCTAGCTGGAATCACAGGTGTGTGCCACCAAACTCTGCTTGTGTGGTAGTTTTGATGGCAAAGGTGAAGGAGCAGCTCTTGACAGCCTGAGTTAGCTGAGAGACTGTTTGTGAGCATGTGTGTGTAGGTGTGTGCCCATATGTATGTGTTTATGTGTGTTGGTGTATGTGTGCAAGTGTAGACATATGTACATGTAAATACATGCGTGGATGGGGAGCACTCCCACTCCCACTACTTCCTGGAGGTGGAGGGGCATTGAGTCCAGAGATGGCACAGGAAGAGCGTACTGAGTGACAGCTATGTGCCCCTGGAGGTTCTCTGCTCACCAGCTACCCAGAGACCACACCCTTCCCAATCAAGGGACAGATGGGGTGAGCTGGCCCATTGGTTTTCCACTCATGAAAATGGCATTTTGTGTGCCAGGGTCATGCCCAGTCTCCACAGACTAGAGGGCTCCAGATACTAGTGATGGAGTGAGATGACTGTGGAGCTGGGAGCCTCAGATTTCCCCAGGTGACCTTTGGGAAGTCATTGACCTCTATAAATTGAGACTTGGATGAGCCCCTTAATCTTTCAGAACTCGCACTTCTTCATCCTTCACAATGCTGAAGCAAGCATCAAAGGACTGCTGGAGGGGAAAGTGATTCTCTTCACGGCCTTCACCTCTCCTATTATTGACCTCTCTTTCTCTGAAGTCCTCTCATCAATTCCCATTCCCTCAGAAACTTGTCTGATTAGAACTAGTGGCCTTACTCTTCATGGATCCAAGCCCCAGGTTTGACAAGGGTTTCCCCAGATAAAGGTAGGGCCCTGTCATGGGTCACACAATCCACTGGGCTCGGAGACACATCTCTCATCAGCCAGCTCAGATATGACTGATTTTATAACGTCTCTGTGTTTCTGTCCAAGCTTTCTTGTCCCCATCCATAGGGAAGCTGGTGGTGATGTCTTCATCAGGTGCTAGAGTCAAATGCCAGGCTGAGAGCTGGGCACACAGAACTATTCAGTCAACACTGGGTCACAAGACTGCCACTCAGGAGTTTTTTCAGGCTTTACTATTACTATCCATAAATTAAAAGCCACAATCTATCTGGTAATGAGAAGGTAATTTTCCTCTCATTGGCTGAAGGCAAAGCTACAGTTTGTGGGGTCCAAGACTTCATTTGCCTCCTAATGAACTGTGGCCAACTTTCATCTGTCATAGGCTATGACATAATATGTAAGTATTATGGAAGTGGCTAAGGTAAAGTAACTAAGACATTTCATTTGTTCCCTCATTAGCTCAACAAACTTTTTTTTCCCCTGGTACTGGGGATTCAATCCAGGGTGTTCACACTAAGCTACATCCTCAGCCTTTTTATTTTTTAATTTTTTAATTTTTTTTTTTTTGGTATTGGGGATCGAACTTGGGTTCTTACGCTTGCGAGGCAGGCCGTGGAACCACTGAGCTAAATCCCCGGGTCTCAGCCCTTTTTTATTTTGAGACAGTCTTACTAAGTTTCCTAGGCTGAGTTCAAATTTGTGATTCTCCTGCCTCAGCCTCCCAGAGTGCTGGGATTGCAAGCATGTACCACCATGGCCAACTCAACAAACATCTGTTTTTTGATACTGGGGATCAAACTCAGGGCCTTGCACTTCCGAGGCAGGCTAGGTGCCACTGAGCTAAATCCCCGGGCCTAACAAACATCTTTTATGCCTTGTATGTGGCAAGCACTGGAAGAGAATGCTGATGTGTATAAGATATATTCTTGCTACCAAGGAGTTTGGGTGCAGAGGGGAGCTCAGAGACACAGTTGAAAATGAAGGGACATGGAGGCCCAGAAGAAGGACATGCTACCTGTCTCTGAGAATCCTGGAAGATTTCTATAAGTAAAGCTTGGCACAGTCGCACATGCTTGTAATCCCAGCACTTGGGAGGCAGAGGCAGGAAGATCTCGAGTTTGAGGTCAGCCTGTGCTACATAGTGAGTTCAAGGCTGCCCTGGACTCATGTCTCAAAAAACTTAAAAAAAAAAAAACTTTCTAAAAGTGAAGTTTGAGCTACATTGTGGAGGAGAAAGGGGCACACGGGTAACCAAAGCAGGAAAGATCATCTGCACAGAGAACAGCAGCTGGAAAAGTCCACAGATGTGAAAACTTCCAGAATATGTGGAAGTAGTAAGGCCCTACTAGATGGCTAGATGGAGAGTTGGATGTGAACTGATGGCCAAGGCCAGCACGAGATGAGACTGAAAAAATAACTAATGACCAATTGGTTCATGTGGGGAACTATGTGTTTTTTTTCTTTTTGAAGAGCTGGAGATGGAACCCAGGGCCTTGGGTATGCTAGGCATACAACTTTGCTACTGAGCTGGACCCTCAGCCCTTGCAAAAGTTTTTTCTTTTCTGGTACTGGGGACTGAAGCCAAAGCCTTCACAATGAGCTATGTCTGCAGCCCCTTTTTTATTTTTTATCTTGAGACAGGGTCTTGCTAAGTCTCTAAGCTGCCCAGGCTTGGATTGAAGTTTTTATTTTGTTTTGTTTTTGGTTTTTTGAAACAGGGTCTCACTATATAATTCAGGCTGGTTTTGAACTCACAGTGGAGCTCAGGCTGGCCTCAGACTTGCAGAAATCCTCCTGCCTCAGCCTCCAGAGTGCTAGGATTACGGGTGTGCACCAACATGCACAGCTAAAACTCTATTTATTATTTAGCAGACACAAAATATCTATTATGCACCAGACATTGCTATTAATGCTTTATAAAGATTAGTTCATTTAGTCCTCCTAGCAACTCTGCAAGACTCCCGTCATGCAGGAATAACAGAGGCATGGAGTGGACCAATGACTCACCTAAGGTCACTCAGCTGAGATTTGAATGGAAGCATGGGGAAGGTGCTGATCCTGGGGCAGGTACTGTCATGCTTTGATTCATTCCATAAATGTTTCCTAGGGTTGGGGATTTAGCTCAGTGGCACAGCACCTGCCTGGCAAGTATGAGGTCCCTCGGTACCTAAATAAATAAATAGATAAATAAATAAATAAATAAATAAACGTTTTCTAGAAGCCTAAAGTGCATTGGAGAGATAACATGGCTCCTATACCTGGGTGTGACTCTCAGAGATTAATGTCCATCCAAGAAAACAGATGATGAAACAATTCATTCAAGAAAGTCACCTAGGGCTGGGATGTAGCTCAGTGGTGCCATGCCTGCCTGGCAAGTGCAAGGTCCTGAGTTTGATTCCCCGTACTGGAAAAAAATAAAAAAGAAGAAAGTCATCTAGAGGCTTCTGCATCCCATGCCCACATTCAGCAGGGCCAAACCTCAGCAGCTGGTAATGATGTCTGAGGTGGGCCGGGGATTTAGCTCAGTGGCGCCACGCCTGCCTCTAAAGCACAAGGTCCTGAGTTCAATCCCAAGTAGCAGAAAAAAAAAATCTATC